TTTCTACAGGTGGGCATGGTGGGCCATCCGATAATCTCCACATGTGTAAACTCTCTCACGTGGACGGCAACTTTTTCACCCCCACAAGATACTAAATTTGAACATGTGGGTGAGCTCAGAGCCCAAATCACCCATCATGAATTTCGTCTCAGATGTACGGATTTTCGACGACACAATAGCAAATTTCGCTGTCCAACGGGTCGATGTATTTCATCAAGTGGGCTGGTACAGTGGCCTTCTGCAACCCACTGGGTGCAACTGGAGTCTTTATACATTGGGTGGCAAAATTTCGCACGCCAATGGGTTTCAAAAATTTGCAACATTTTTTACAGTGTGATTCGACAAATTTTTTTCTTCCGTCGCGCTTCGTCCCCCCCCCTTTTTTATTCTGCTAATAAAGTCGCCCCGATGTAATAACAGCCTATACGTTTTCCGTAGAAAAAAAAAACCCGGGCGAGTCGGAGTGAAACATGGAAATGAAAATGCAGACGAAAAAAAGAGGGCAGAGAAAAAAGGCGCGCGCGGGTGGTTTTGCCGCATGGCGCTTCGTACTGATTCGATGCAGAGGATGCCTCTTTTCTGCGGGTAGGGTGGAGCCATATGGCACTCGTTCGACCATCATCCCCCACCCCCTTCTCTCTCTCTCTCTCCCTCTCTCTCCTCTCTCTCTCTCCCCCTCTCTCTCTGTCTCTCTCTGTCTCTCCCCTCCCTCCCTACCCCACCCCCCTGCATCGCCATTTGCACGTCAGGACGGCGGTGGGTACTTGACGAAAACTCATCAACTAAAACAAAGAGAGCTGACTGCCGCGCAGTGCCGTACACACGCCCCTCCCCTCCCCCCGAGTGGCGCGCTGAGCCTGACTGTGCCGCGCAATGCAGCCCTTGGAGCACCCTCCACTTTCGCATTTACGGAATGAAACCGCGGATGTAACTCGCAGTGGCGTGGAATGACGGGCATGGTGCAGCCCAGCAGTCAGTGGGCCAGAAGACCGGTGGAGGCGGTCGAAATCCCGGACGCGTTTTGAGCTCCAGAGTCGCTGAATGGGACTCGAACCGAACGTGTGACCCCACCAATGGATTGCTCTCCGAACGAGGAACCCATTGGTGGGGTCACATGCTCGATTCGAGTCCTGTTCAGCGACTCGGGTGCGCACACTGCAGATAAAAGCCCTCCTTTTTGCGCTGAGTAAAGGACGCCCTCCCCAAGTATATCCACGACCAGGTCACTGCCGGGGGACGGAAGGGCGCATCATCCAGTGAGCCCCCTCCCCCCCCCTTCCCACCCCTTCTCGTATTCTTACTTTCTTTTAGGGGGATGAGGTTGGGGCTGCGTGCTTGGCATTCGAAGGCGGCCTGCAGGCGGCGTGGTACAGTGTGCTGCCAGCGGCTGCCAGGCCGAGCCCGGCCTCGCTGGCACCGCCAGCACAGCCAGCACACTGGAGGGCAGACGGCGTGGTGCCGCGTCGCCCCTTGTGCAGCCGCCTCCCCCCCCCCAATGGCTGAGACACCTTCTTCCGGAATCTGACCTTCTCCCTCTCGCCACCCCCCCCCCACACACACACACAGACACACACACACACGTCTTTTCTTTTCCCGTGTGCATCGGCGGGAATCTGGACAGTGGCGGAGTCTGATCCGTGACGGGTCGTGCACAGCCAGTCCCAACCGCGGGACGTATTCCGAATGCCGGCGGAAAGGAACCGTTGGCCCTGACGTGGCATCCTTGGATTGCCATCCTTGGATGGGGGGCGACTGCTCGGGACGCCTTGTCAGGGCGGATGGCCTGCATGTCCGCCCCCTCCCCCCCCTCTCTCTCTCTCTCTCTCTCTCCTCTCTCTGGGGGCTCTCTCTCTCGATCTCCTCTCCCCTCTCTCTCTCTCTCTCTCTCCTCTCTCTCTCTCTCCTCTCTCCCCTCTCACTCTCTCTCTCTCTCTCTCTCTCTCTCTCTCTCTGAGCCCCTCGTAAGCAGTGACTAGTCCCGCTCCGAGGTTGACTTCCCTTCGCCAGATTTCCGCCTTCGGACGTCTCGCCGAGCCGCTCCGAAGGTCTCGCTCTGTCTCTGTCGCACTCCCGGGGCGTTGCGTTGGGGTGCGAGAGAGACAGAGCGACGGGTCATTAATCACCGCAACGGGGGGAAGTGCTTACGTCCAATATTCCATAAGAAGGTTAAGTCGGAGCTACCGCCGCACAGTGGGCCAGAAGACCGGTGGAGGCGGCGAAAACTCTAGACGCGTTTTGAGCTCCAGAGTCGCTAAATGGGATTCGAAGCGAACGTGTGACCCCACCAATGGATTGCTCTCCGAACGAGGAATCCATTGGTGGGGTCACACGTTTGGTTCGAGTCCCATTTAGCGACTCTGGAGCTGAAAACAAAACACGTCTAGAACTGCGACCGTGCGACTCTTTGCGACTCTCGACTTTTCCCGTTTCTTAGATAAGAATCTCGCCGGGTTTGGTTACGCACGGGGCTGGAGGACGGCTCAACTTTTCCATTAAACGACAAAAAAAGGAGGTGGCGCTGAGATTATCTGCAGACTTCCTAACTAAACACGTTTAGATTATCTTGATGTTTTCATCAGAGGGTTGTCGCCACCTCCAGACGGCTTGTTGGCGGCGCTATCACGCTCACTGCACGACATTTTCATTATTCATGTAATTTCTACCTCGATTGTTTACCCCGCGTCGCCTGGTAAGACGGAAAAAGGGGGGGGGGCTGAGAGTGGAGGTGGAGGGGGAACCTAATAATAGAGGCAAATTACCTTATCTGACTGACCGCACTGGGCGGCACGGGGCGGCACACAGTGGGCCAGAAGACCGGTGGAGGCGGCCAAAACTCTGGACGCGTTTTGAGCACCAGAGTCGATAAGCAGGACTCGAACCGAACGTGTGACCCCACCAATGGATTCCTCGTTCGAAGAGCAATCCATTGGTGGGGTCACACGTTCAATTCGAGCCTCATTTAGCGACTCTGGAGCTCAAAAGGCGTCCAGAGTTTTGGCCGCTTCCACCGGCCTTCTGGCCCACTGTGCGGCACGGGGCGGCACGCTAGGCCAGGCTGTTCGGCCCCGGAGGATTGTTATGAATTGTATGCACTGTTCCGGTTCGTCCCAGCCAAGTCCAACTGCCCCTCAGCGGTCTGGCGAAGCCCCCCCCCTTTTTTTAAAGGTAAAAACAAATGCATTTTAACAGCCAGGTGTCGCTTAAAAAAAATTCTTGTACTTTAGCAGCCGGAAATTTGTACAAAACACCGACGTTGAAGGTTTTTGGAATTATTGGGGGCAGGTTTTTACTTTCCCCCAAAAAATTCTTCGGGCATTGCCAAGATTTTTTTCTTAAAAAAAAAAAGACAGTGTAGCTGTCACGACCAGCATCGACATGCTCCTACTCTGTTTGCTCCCGTGTGTGCATCGCGCGACGAGGGCAAACACTGAAAAAACAACAACAAATAAAATAAAAGGTGGCTGTCAACAGCACGTTCCAGTGGCGTGACTTAAGGTCACCTCACGGGACCCGGAGGCGAGGCGCCGACGGAAACGCGTTTCGCGACGCGATAAATAACTGAGAATTGTTGTCTCACGCCTTTTTTTCCCTTCCTTTTTTTCTTTTTTCCCCCTGTCTCCGAGCAAATGTTTTCCCCTTGGTTCTCTCCCCATTCCTGTTCCTGTTTGTTAGGTTTGGGCTAATCCAGTGTCGGGCACTACCCCAGGATGTAACAGTGCCTTTCTCTCTCTCTCTCTCTCTCTCTCCCTCCCTCTCTCTACCCCTTCCCTCCGGCCCGTCCGCGGCCAAACTGTCGTTGGCAGTGCAGGGTTCCAGAGGGATGCTCGTTTGTGGAATCCCTTGCGTAGATAAACGGAAAAAGAATGAGACTGTGTGTGTCCGTGCATCAGTGTGGTGTGTGTGTGTGTGTGTGTGTGTGTGTGTGTGTGTTTGTGCGCCCGGGGGAGGTGAGTGTGTGTTCTTTACTCGGTGAGACACTGCGTGTGTACGTTTGTGATGTGAGCGCGCACTCTGTGCTCTGTGCCCAGGGAGACTGTGTGTTTTTATTTTGTTTGTGTGCTCTGTGTTCATGGAGACTGGGTGCAGACTGGTTGTTCTGTGTTCAGTCTCTCAGGAATGAATGAATGAATGAATGAATGAATGAATGAATGAATGAATGAATGAATGAATGAATGAATGAATGAATGAATGAATGAGTGAGTGAGTGAGAATGATGGACGAAAACGAAAAAAAGAAAACGAAAAAAAGGAAAAGAGAAAACGAAAAGGAGAAAACGAAAAGGAGAAAACGAAAAGGAGAAAACGAAAAGAGAAAACGAAAACGAGAAAACGAAAACGAGAAAACGAAAACACGAAAACGAAAACGAACCTGCGTCGATTCAGGTTGTTCGTTTTGACAGTGGAGTGTGCGTGTGCCCAGCGGCTAATCCAGCTGATCCTCGCCGAGTGCCACGAAACGCCTCCTTCATTTTCGGCTGGCTTTACAGTGGCGTAATGGGGGTGTTGGGCGTGGCCCGCGCTCCGTCTCTCTCGCACCCGTGCGGCCCGCCGGGCGAGAGGGACGGAGAGTGACGGCGCGCTGGGGGTGTAGTTGGCCTTCTCCGGGGACGCCTATCTCGCCCGTGGCCTTCTTGATCTCGGCCGGGCGGCGCGGGGCGGCGCGGCCCCGCCCAGGTCAGGCCGTCAGCCCAACGGCCCAACGCGGCCCGATGAATCGATGGGCCGCACAGTGGGCCAGAAGACCGGCGGAGGCGGCCAAAATCCCGGACGCGTTTTGAGCTGCAGAGTCGCTAAATGGGACTCGAACCGAGCGTGTGACCCCACCAATGGATTGCTCTTCGAACGAGGAATCCATTGGTGGGGTCACACGTTCGGTTCGAGCCCCATTTAGCGACTCTGGAGCTCCAAACGCGTCTAGAGTTTTGTCCGCCTCCACCGGTCTTCTGGTCCACTGTGCCCCGGCCGGAATCCACGGTGACGGTGTCGTTGTCCTTGTTGCAGATCTCGTCGCTGGTGTCGCACGCCGAGCTGGCGGGGCAGGGCCAGGGGCAGGCGGGGCACCGGGAGCGGCCGCTGCGGTCGGTGAGGGCGGTCGCCAGGGTGGGCCAGGCCGTCAACCTGGCCGTGGAGCGCTTCGTCACCGTGGGGGAGACCATCGCGGACGACAACCCAGAGATTAAGACTGACATGTACGACGCCTGCAAGGAGGCGCGGACGGCAGGTAAGCTGCACTGGAAGTTTTTTTCCAGAGGTACCTTTGTAAATTCGTAATTAACTTCTTAATGTTTGTGGCTGCCTGTAAACCATCTGACTGTCTTCTTGTTTATTTGTCTGTCTGTCAGTTTGTCTGTCGGTCTGTCGGTCTGTCTGTCTGTCTGTCTGTCTGTCTGTCTGTCTGTCTGTCTGTCTGTCGACTGCTACTGTCCGGCTGTGGGGGGGCTGTCCCCCTGTCCGCCTGTCTGTCTGTCTGTCTGTCTGTCTGTCTGTCTGTCTGTCTGTCTGTCTGTCTGCGCTTGGCCGACCGTCACGCGACAGTCTTTTGTTTCGTTCCCGCCGCTTTCCGACGCCAGTGAGTGCTTCTCGCTCGGCTTTCCAGCCTTTCCCCGTGCTGGCCACCTGTTTTTCGTCGTTTCCGCTCTACCCCCACCACCACACTGGCAGAAAAAAAAAAGACTTGCAGGAAAAACACGACAGAAAATGGAGACACCAGTTTTCCTTATGGACTGGAGGGTGAAATTCGCACTGGAAAAATAAACTCTTACGTAATTTTGGTTTACTGGAGCAGCCTTTAGCTGTGCGAATTTCAATTAGTTTGTTCAACTTTCCTTTATTTATTTTGCTTGTTTTTTTTCCCCTCGCCGGCGCGCCGTTTCGTTTATTTTCGGTCGTTTCTCTGGCCGTCCCTCCTCGTCGACTCCTCTTCGTGTCTGCCTTCGCTCTCTCTCTCTCTCTCTCTCTCTCTCTCCTCTCTCTCTCTCCCTCCGCGTCGCGTAATGTGCTGAGAGGGTGTTGAAGTAGGCCATGCTCCTGGAGGCGCGGCTGGCGCGGCGGTGAGGCACCAGGACTCCGGGCCGGGCGGGCCGCTGGGATGAAGGATGAGAGTTTGCGGCAGCGCCCTGTCTCCCTCGCACCCTTGCGGGCCGCCCCGCGAGTGCGAGAGAGACAGCGCGACGAACTGGAGCTGGATGCCCCAAGGTTGGCTGCTGCGGCTGCCGCCGGGGCTGCCCTGGCCTGCAGACTGACTCCGGGCAGTGCTCTGTCTCTCTCGCTCTCGGGGAGCGTTCCGCAGAGGGGTGAGAGAGAGAGAGAGACGGAGCGACGAAGCGGTGTTCTGTTCGGAATCAGTCTCTCTTGCCCTGGCCTGCCCGCAGAGTCAAGCACCCGCACCCCGGACTGGGCAAGCCACGCCACCAGGCGTCAGCACATTTGGTGCCCCCCCCCCTTGCCCCACAACTCACCCCTCACGCCATCTGCCGCCCCCGCCCCCCTTTCATCATCATACTGCCGCGCGAAAGTCGCAATCCATTTTCTCAAGTGAGGCAATCGTGTTGCACGCTACACTGCCGGCGGCGGGGCGGGAATTTGCGGTGTGGGCGCGTTTCATTTAGACCAAAATAGTGTGCCAGTACGTGACGGCGGCCGGGATGTGATTCGCGAGGCGCGAGTAATTTTTTTTCTGTTGTTTTTCCGTGTTTTATTTTGTGTTTGTGCTGTTTTTGTGTTGCTGCTGCTTTTTCACGGGGAGCGGTGAGGCGAGGGTCCCGACGTGTCTGATGACGGTCCGAGACTTGATTGGTGGGTCGTTGCAGGCTCCGCGATAGAGAAGCTCTGCGAGGCGGCCCTGGGGGACTCCCCCGCCGACAGAGGGGCGGTGGTGCGGGCGGCGCGCTGCCTGCTGCAGGCCGTCACCAGGGTGCTGCTGCTGGCCGACATCGTGGTCGTCAAGCAGCTGCTGCTCGCCAAGGACAAGGTGGGTCGCAAAGTTTGCTCAGACTTTAAAAAAAATCTTTGCTTTAAATTTTGGTTTCAAATTGACTCACGGTTCAGAAAAAATATTTTTTTTTGTACTATACCTGCTGGGAAGTCATTCAAATTTAAATTTAAATGTCTCCACGAATTTTTTGCCCCATAAAAGTTCTCCAAAACATGTTTTTTTTTTTTCAAAAAGAAAAAAATTCTTTAAGAACTCTTTCTAAAAAAGAGCTCCGCATAATTTTTTTCAAAAAAAAAGTCCCCCGGAATTTTTTTTTTTAAATGACAGTGCTGTTGTCCAGGTGGCGCGGACGTTGGGCCGGCTGGAGAACGTGTCCAACTTCACCGAGTTCGTGAAGGCCTTCTCGCACTTCGGCGCCGAGATGGTGGAGCTGGCCTACCTGACCGGCGACCGGCAGAACGACACCAAGGACGAGCGGCGGCGCGCGCAGATGGCCGCGGCCCGGCAGGTGCTGGACAGGTCCACCGTTATGCTGCTCGTCTCGTCCAAGGTCAGTAGCCAGTGTGTCAGTGCGCCGAAACTCGAGACGCGTTTTGAGCTCCAGAGTCGCTAAATGGGACTCGAACCGAACGTGTGACCCCACCAATGGATTGCTCTCCGAACGAGGAATCCATTGGTGGGGTCACACTTTCGGTTCGAGGCCCGTTTAGCGACTCTGGAGCTCAAAACGCGTCTAGTCGCCTTGCGAGTTTTTCCGCTCCCTTTTCTATCGGCGGCACGCACGACCCCTCAGCAAATGAACCGCCCCCTGGGGGGCTCTGAAGGGCCCCGCCGAGGGATGCGCTAGGGCTGCGAAAAGGCCCTGCGTTAGGGCTGCTGGGTCTCGCCCTGCTTGCCGAAGGGCTGTCAAAGGACTGCCACGCCACTGCCAGAGGACTGCCGCGGGGCTGCCGGCCGGTTCCGTATGGATGGATATGCCGGATCGCGCCGTCTCCGCCCTTTTTCGATTCGTTCTGCATTATTGGCCCTCTAACGGCCTTCCCCTTTCGGGCGGGCTTTCTCTCAGGGCTTTCTCTTGGCTCTCTCTGCTCTCTCTCTCTGCTCTCTCTCTCTCTCTCTCTCTCTCTCTCTCTCTCTCTCTCTCTGCTCTCTCTCCCCCTGCTCTCTCTCTCTCTCTCTCTCTCTGCTCTCTCTCCGCTCTCTCTGCTCTTTCTGCCCTCTCTCTGCTCTCTCTCCGCTCTCTCCGCACTCTCTCCGCTCTCTCTCTGCTCTCTCTTTCTGACCTCTCTCTCTGCTCTCTCTTTCTTTCTCTCTCTGCTCTCAAAGTGCCGCTTGATTCTCCGCCGCGATAGCCCGGCCGCCGTGCATGGTCCATTTAAATAATTTCTAGTGAATGCGACCGGGCGCGCCGAGCGCGCTGATAGCGGGGGATGCGAATGGAGGCCACGGAGGGCGAGAAGGAGGCCCTCTTGAAGAGACCTCTGCCCCCTCCCCCCCCCCTCTCTCTCGTCAAGCCCTTTAATGCCCGGAAATGACTGCAGTTAAAGTTGCCCCGGGATGAACCCGCGAGTACATTTTGCCCCGCGCCCCGCCCGCGTCTCCACTGTGAAGTAAAGCGCATTTCGACCTGCCGGACTGTTTGGCGGACGAAGTTTTTCTTTTTTCAGTGTGTTGTAACACTACGCGTGCTCACACAGGGTAACAACGTTTTGGTGAAGAATAAGACTTGTGTGACGAGGTGTGTTGCCTTTCCGCAGACCTGCCTCCGCCACCCGTCGTGCCCCACGGCGCGGGAGAGCCGCGACACGGTGTTCTGCCAGATGCGGCGCGCCATGGACCTCATCCACTACGTCGTCAAGGACGGCGTGCTGGACTCGGCGGCGCAGCTCGCGCACATCACCAGCCAGCACGGCACGGCGCAGGTGAGTCATCGCCAAGTGCGGCCCGGCCTCGCACAGTGGACCGGAAGACCCAGGCGGCCGAAACTCTAGACGCGTTTTGAGCTCCAGGGTCGCTAAACGGGGCTCGAACCGAACGTGTGACCCCACCAATGGATTGCTCTCCGAACGAGGAATCCATTGGTGGGGTCACACGTTCGGTTGGAGTCCCACTTAACGACTCCGGAGCTCAAAACGCGTTTCGACTTTCGGCCGCCTGCACCGGTCTTCTGGCCCACTGTGGGCCCGACCCAGCAGGGCTCTCGGCGGGTGAGAGCCGGCGCGTGAAGTGAGAGCCCTCGCCAGCGCTGGCGCGGGCGTCGAGCGGCCGTCGGACGGGTACACTAGGCAGGGACGATAGGGCAGGCCGTTTCTCACGTTGGTCCTTCGCCCCGCCGGCCTTGCCCTGCGCAGAGCCCGGGGCTGGTGTACAGGGACCCGGAGCTGGGGTGGCTGACGCACAGGTTGAGTGTGCTGAGCCGGCTGGGCCGGGGCGCTGGCGCGGACCTGATCCGCGAATACCGGGCCTGGTGGAGGTTTTTCACCTCCTCGCTGCCCCGGAGCGCCGCCGCCACCCTCGCCACCGCCTGGGCGATCAGTGAAGATTTCAAGTGCACCCAGGTAACGGATAGCACCAGAGTCCCCACATCCAGTCGCCTCGCCCAAAAGTTTCTAAATAAATCTCGGAATAAACGCAGCCGGGGCTTTTAACTTCCGACCCCCGGCTGAAGCTAAAGCTCTCTTAACTTAGAAACTATTAGTTACACTTTTTTACTTCGCATGAATATCTAAAGTCAGTGGTTGCTTCTTTTAAACCATTTAAAAAAACAAGATAAAAACTAAATTTTAAAAACTAGTTCCTTTTTTTAAATTTCTTTTTAAATCTCTTCAGTAAAATAAGTAAGTGCTTGGGCCCTTGCTTTCTCGTCTTTCTCGTGGAGTGGGGGCTCCGCGCGCGTCGTTGTTGGCTGGAGTGTAGAGTGTAGGGCCTCTAGAACGGGCTTGGCCTGCTGGCCGCGCTGCTAGGGTGCGGCTCGCAGTGGGCCAGAAGACCGGTGGAGGCGGCCGAAACTCTAGACGCGTTTTGAGCTCCAGAGTCGCTGAATAGGACTCGAACCGAACGTGTGACCCCACCAATGGATTGCTCTTCGAACGAGGAATCCATTGGTGGGGTCACACGTTCGGTTCGAGTCCCATTCAGCGACTCTGGAGCTCAAAACGCGCCCAGAGTTTCGGCCGCCTCCACCGGTCTTCTGGCCCACTGTGCGGTCGAGTCGGCCGGGTCGGCCTAGTCGTCGCACCACTATTAAACTTTTTTGACCAAGTACCCCAGGCAGCCGCGCCCCTCCTTTGGCGGCCTTTCTGTAGTCTCCGAGCTCTTGTACCGCGTAGGTGACCATAGTTTTCTTTTCTTACTCATCTCTTGGACAGAAAGTTGATCGTAGTTTCCCGGCGGAGGGCTTGTGACGCTCGGCGAGCCGCTGTCGCAGGGTCTTGTAGCCCACGGTGCACCGCGGTGTGGCATGGTTACTTGCCGAGTTTGCCTGCCGTGGAGGTGCAACCACGGCACAGCCTTGGTCATTTCTCTCGCGACAGTGTAGCCGGCTGTTTCCATCTGCCATCCAAACTTGTCTTCCGCTGGACGCCTATACCATCACTCTCCGTAGACGAGCTTTTTTTTCATTCCTCTCTGCATGACCTATATATTTTGTACCAGCAACAACCGTAGGCTAGAGTTTTCTTTCCCCGTTTTGATGACGTTGACTGCGTTTTCACCCACCTGACTTTGCACGAATCACCGCGGGGGTGCGCGTCAGCCGCTTTCGAGCAGCCAAGCGTTTTCGTCGCTCTGTCTCTCTCGCACTCGTGGGGCGTCCCGCGGGCGTGCGAGAGAGACAGAGCGACGAAAGCGCTTCCCGCGGAACCGGCCTAACTGCAGAGATTAATGCGTCGAGGCTATTGGTCGACTGCAGAGTCGCTCCGTCTCTCTCGCACTCGTGGCGCGTCCCGCGGGGGTGCGAGAGAGACGGAGCGAGAGGGACTATTGCCAATGGGGCGAGCGAGCCGACGCGAGGGATGCGGGTCGGTACACAAACTGCGTTACGCCACTGTTAGGAGGGGAGCGGGGGGAGCGACTACTGCACTGCACTACCCTTCACCCCTTCGCAAAAAGCACACTACAGTGCGAGGTCCAGCTATCTGGACTTGTAAAATAAAAAATTATTTTGATTTTGAGTAGCGCTATTTTTTTGTGAAAAGTCAGCGTTTCGCCGATTTTTCACAAAAGCACTTATTTTTGTTTAACGGGTTTAGCGTGTACTGTATATACTCACGGGATGGTTGCGTCATCACCAAAGTCGGTGCAGAACGTGCCTTAAAAGCCAGCCAGCTAGGCGCACAGTGGGCCGGAAGACCGGTGGAGGCGGCCAAACCCCCGGACGCGTTTTGAGCTCCAGAGTCGCTAAATGGGACTCGAACCGAACGTGTGACCCTACCAATGGATTGCTCTCCGAACGAGGAATCCATTGGTGGGGTCACACGTTCGGTTCGAGTCCCGTTCAGCGATTCTGAAGCTCAAAACGCGTCTAGAGTTTTGGCCGCCTCGCTGGTCTTCTGGCCCACTGTGAGCCGCTCGCCCGGATCGGCATGCGAGTCACTCCTCACTCATCGCGCGCTACATCTGTTTGGCCAGGGCCGGGGTTCGGGGGTGGGGGTTCCGGTTTGGCCACTTCTATCACGTCCAGACTGAGAGTCGTTTTCGCCGCCCCGCCTCCCTCGCGCCCCCAGCGGGACGCCGCCACGAGTGCGAGAGAGACGGAGCGACGGGATCGGCGAGTGATTACTCCCTGTTACGTCGGCTGCTGGAAGCAAGTGGAGCCCTATTGGGGCTCCGGATGGCCGTGGCAGATGCCCCATCGGGGTGGCGGCATTTTGAGGAAAAGGGCGCTTCTAAGCAGATGCGGGGTAAAGTGTTATTGGATAAGTGGGGTGGGGGAGAGCGGAAGGCTAAGGGGAGGGGGAAGGGGGAGGGAGGTGACGCACAGTGGGCCAGAAGACCGGTGGAGGCGGCCGAAACTCCGGACGCGTTTTGAGCTCCAGAGTCGCTAAATGGGACTCGAACCGAACGTGTGACCCCACCAATGGCTTTGCAGGAGGACTGGGACGCGTGCCGCACCGTTTACGGCGCCCTCAAGCACCTGGAGGACATGGTGGAGATGACGAGGATCACGCTCATCGGGCCCAGCTCCAGGGAGCGGATGACGCAGGGCTTGGACACGATCCTGGAGCGCGTGCAGGACTTCACCGACTCGGCCTACACGACGCACGAGCACCGCGAGAACATCCTGCTCATCTGCGACCGCGCCAAGATCCAGCTCAGCCAGCTGCTCAGGGTCGGCATCAGCATGGTGAGTGTCTCTTACCGGTGGAGGCGGCCGAAACTCCAGACGCGTTTGGACCGCCAGAGCCGCTGAACAGGACTCGAACCGAGCGTGTGACCCCACTAATGGATTGCTCTCCGGACGAGGAATCCGTTGGTGGGGTCACACGTTCGGTTCGAGTCCCATTTAGCGACTCTGGAGCTCAAAACGCGTCTGGAGTTCTGGCCGACTCCACCGGTCTTCTGGCCCACTGTGTGGCCGTGGGAGTCCGTGACTGACGCCGTGCTTGGCCGCGCTGTCCCGCAGGAGCAGGTGGAGGGCACCTCGCCGACGGAGGAGATGGAGGTGGCCATGCTGGGGCTGCTGCAGGCCGTGAGGGACATGCGGGTGCAGCTGGTGCGCACCGTGGTGGACCAGACGTCGGAGCTGCAGGCCACCACCAAGACGGGGCTGGAGATCGTGGACGCCATCCGGAACTACGCGCTGTCGGCCGACACGGAGCGGATCAGCGAGCTGGGGGAACGCTTCCAGGAGGTCCTGGACCACATCCTTGAGGTGAGTCAGCGGGCCAGAAGACCGGCGCAGGCGGCCGAAACTCAAGACGCGTTTTGAGCTCCAGAGTCGCTAAATGGGACTCGAACTGAACGTGTGACCCCACCAATGGATTGCTCTCCGACCGAGGAATCCATTGGTGCGGTCTCGCGTTCGGTTCGAGTCCCATTTAGCGACTCTAGAGCTCGAAACGCGTCTTTAGTTTCGGTCGCCGTCGCCCACTGCGCAGCGCCCCTGTGAAACGCATGGTAGGCCAGCCCGCCGAACAGCCGTGTCTTGCACACGCAGTCGGTGCCTACCTCGTATTACCATTACCATTAAGGGCTAGACCCCACATCATCGTATGCCAGGCGGCCGGGCCGTGGCAAGGCCGTGGCGTGCCACTCACTGCGCGCGCGCTGAGAGGATAGCGTGTGAATTAACTCGAATTCTCATCTCCGGTTTTGTCCTGAAGTGACAAAAAACGGTGACAGTGTGGGGGACTCTGTTGCAGGTGTGCAAGATGCTGAGGCACATCGCCTGCACGGATACGCTGCAGGTCAACACGCGGTACGCCGAGATCAACCTGCGGATATACGGTCCGCAGGTGGTGACGGCCGCCCAGACCCTGGCCATGCACCCGCAGTCCAAGATCGCGCGGGAGCACATGGAGGGTGAGCACAGCTCCAAAATTCACAAAAATTTAAATTTTTAAAATTTGCTAAAAGATGCAAATTTATTGAACTTTGTTCAGTTATTTTAAAATTTGAATAGTTTTTGCCCGAATTTCATAAAAATTTAAGTGAAATTTATGAGATTTTTACCATTACGTCACTTCTCTTGGATTTCTTGATTGGGGAAAAAAATTGAAAAAAAGGTTAGTGGAAAAGGAAAGGGGAATTTTGATGGGGGGAATGAGGGGCGCGTTGGATGGACAAACTGTTCATGTCGCTCCGACAGGGGTGGCAAGCCCGCCGCCCACGTTTAGCGCTGTAATGCCGGTGAGGTGATCGAAGTGAGCCAGGCGCGGGGGATGGACAAGCACGTGTACATGTCGCTACCCAGGCCAGGGGTGAGTCTGTTTCCGTTTTGAAAACGCCCGCCACACTTTTAATACGCTCTAAATGTCTAGCAGGGGAATTGAAGCTTCTTCGGGCCCACTGTGAACCGTGCCGCCTGCTTGCAGAAACACGGCACCACCACGAAGCCGCTCAAGGCCGTGCGCCTGGACTCGGAGGAGCAGGCCAAGATCGCCAAGGCGGGGCTGGACATGAAGCTGGCCAGCAGCGAGATGGAGGCCGAGGCGGATAAGTGGCGGGAGAGCGAGGAGAACAACGACATCGTGAAGCGCGCCAAGAACATGTCCTCCATGGCCTTCTCCATGTACCAGTTCACGCGCGGCGAGGGCGCGCTCAAGACGACGCAGGACCTGTTCACGCAGGCCGAGTACTTCGCCGAGGAGGCCAACCGGTTGTACAAGGTCGTCAGACAGTTCTCGTACCAGGTACGTGCAAGGCCGGCCGAGTTGTGTACAGGCGTGACTCCGTTGTGAAGCCGGCGAGGCACGCAAGACGCAATCCAGGGGCGGATCCCGGAGGCGGCCTGAGGGGGAGGCGCCAAGCACCACTTGCTGCTTTTGCCCACCTTTCAGGTGGCTGTCTGGGGGTCAAGGTGCCCTCTGGACCCGCGCGCCTCGCCGGCTGCATAGTCCCCTTGATGTACTCTGGTGCGACACTGCCGCTGGGTTCGCCTCCGCCCAAAAGGCCAACCCAGTCGGGGCGTGTGGCACCGCCCTGTGTATGTTTCCACGTGGAGAATCACACTTCGCGCTCCGACTCAGTTTCTTATTTTTCCTTTCTCGCACTTTGCGCCAAATATTCCTGGATCAATCATTTTTTTTCAACTTTAATTTACTTTAGTTTTGAAGTGTGATATTCACAGTTGGCATAAGTCATACTTGTTAAGAGAAGCATGCAATTAATTAGCTATGTACAATTATTTATTTTGTTTTATTATCTTTTTACTTCTCTTTCTTTATTCTCCCTTGCTGAGCATTTGTATAACGTTTTATTCTTATGAGACTAACTTTATTTCTTTACAATGTTTAGTTTTGATATTCTTTTCAAGCTCTCTCCCAAACTAGGCAAGCCGTCATTCATTCTCGGTAGCGATTTTTAAAAAAGTGTTTTGTTTTTGGAACGATTAACTTCAGAAGTCTAGAGTTCGGCCCTACCGCATTTACTTTGACTGTGTTCCACACCATTTTGACGGCTTGTCTTCGTGTGCCCCTTGGGCTTAGCAACGGCAAGGTTTTTTTTTCGTCCTGTCGAACCTTTCCACTTTTCCTTTCCTCCCTTTTCAAACGATTAGTTGCGCACACCCGATATGTTTTGCCTTGTGATAACGAGTCGTTACGTTGCCAAATTGTAATACTTCTTTCATTCCTCTCTACTTTATCCTTTCTCTCTTTTTTTCTGGTCTCCTGTGCGCATAGCCATCGGCAGCCTTCATGTAGAACCCAACTTAGAGCACTCTTCACACACTTCATGTCATTCCACAACTTTTCCACATAGTAGTCTTTTTAAACAATTAAAAGTAGACATTCGTTTTTAATTAGACATACATAGCAAAATATGAAGAAGCAGCCGGCAAAAGATTTTTGTTTTTGTTCTTCATAGTAGTAGACACACTGCAAGCATTTCGAAGCCTTTTTTTCACAGTACACTTCATAACGAAATGAGAGGATCTCAATGTACAGTTTAGTCTCGACCAATCACAGCGACAGTTTAAATAACTATCCATAACTACATAAATCCTAAACTAACCCGCCGAAGCGTTCGACCCGCGGTCCCCAACGTGTGCAACACGTTTTGTTAAGAGTGCACTTGCTCACGCATCGTTAAACCTTGTCATTGCGAGACGAAAATGAATCTTAAAATCCAATGTACCCGTCATATTGGTTGTGTTGCCTGTATTCCGCATTCACACATGTAACATCGCCCTTCTTTACGGAGTTGTGAATGCTAACCAATTGCTTCTACTAACAACCGATAGGGCAATGGACTCTTTCGTAAGTAACATGTCTCTGGACGTAGATATTGTGCGTGGATAGATTGTCAAGGTGATCTACGGCCTCAAACTAAAGGTATAGAATGTACCTCAACTGTACTAACTACCCCGCTTGTCTCACCTTACTGGTGTCTCCCGAAAACTAATGTAAACTAAACAAACATAAATAATCTGTTTCAATATAAATCTTGTAAAACTCTGATTTGTAAGGATCAAGTGTCCTAGTTTGTTAGAGTATTACGCTGTATGTAACCTGTGAGGTCATGGGTTGAGAACTGCGGAGGAAACTACTGTTCCCCAGTATTGCCATTTAATTATGTACTGTGTTGTGAAGTAATGTGGTTCTTAGAAGCGTCAACATTGTTCAAAGTCTGTGTAGACCCTTCATAGTTTAGTCAAACACTCAGACACCTCAAGCCTCAAATTCCTTTCTTTCAAGTTGGTCGCCATTTTCGCGACGTCATTTCTATTTCTGTTTATCAACCTTTTTGATGGGTGTCTGAGTGTTTCTTAATCCTACATTTCTGTGCCTGTATGGTCTGGTCTTACCCGGTCTTTCTCCCTGCTGCTCATTGGAACCTTCTTATTTAGGTATCGCCCCGTCGCTAGCTCTCTGTCTCTCTTTCTCCCTCGCCACGAAGCTCGCGAATGCCCCACGCCATTCCGTTGTCTAACATTTGTGCCGGACTGGCTTTATTTCTTTGCCTTGTAGACAACTCTTCACTTGACTTGTCCCTCAATTTACTCAAATTCAATGAAACTGGCTCCTCTTGCGGGCCAACCAAAAGTGAATTCAAGTCAACTCAAATTCGGATGCGTGGGGCCCGTGCATTACCTACGTAAAAATTTTAATATTTCTTTTTAAAATTTGGATTTGGTTATCACGACTGTACAAATACCTTGAAACCAATTCCGTGCAGAAAGAAGTAGCTACTGGACGTCCTCGTGGCTTGGCGATCTATCCCCTGCTCTTCCCTGCCTGCCCCCGCCCTCTCTGCTGTCTGTCTGTTTCTTTTAGGCCTTCGACTGTACGTATCTCTTGTAGAGCACTTTGCCTCTGGTCCTCAAGCTGTTCCTGTCATCACTGTCGCGCTTTAACTATTTCAAACGGACTTCTGCTGGTTTGGAAAGTAACTCGACTTATTCACTAATCTCCATCCGGAGGTCAGATTATAAGATCATTTTTCAAATTGACGGTATTATGTGCTGCAGGCATGCTACTTCTTTTAGGCTGCTTAGAATCGTTTTTTTATTCCTTCCTCTAGCTTGTCTTTAGCTTCTCTAGAGTTTTGAAAACTTGAATCAATTTTTATCCTCTTGGAGTCGCTTTTGCCTTAACGTTTTTCAACTAACTACTAACTAATCAATTGGAAGTAAAAGAGCTCCAATGTGTTCAATTGAAGGTGTTAGATTGACTGTTAGGTAGTGACTGCAGTAGTAATGTGAAAAAGGAGAGTGGATTACTAGAAACGCCAATTCCATAGTGGTTTGGACCTCACTAGCAGTGATTTCGGACGCTCTTGACGACACGTGGGGCGAGCATCTGGCGGGAAGCACGTCGTGTCTGCTCCTTCCAACAACAGCCTTGCGCGCCATGCCGGGCGCGGCCATACACTGGAAAATGCCTCCGGGATGATGCTGTAGTGGAGTGTAGTCGAAGGGTAGCTACCGATCGGAGAGTAGAGGACTCTTAGAGTGCATGGTATTTTCCGGTGGAACGTTTTACAACCAACTAGTCGACTCTCTCACGACGAAGCGGCTTTCCTCCGAAACGGATCGATTCTCTCGACTGAAAAATAATCAGGATTTCGGTATTGTAAAATCAAGGGACACTTTCCCGTGTACTGTGCTGACATTTTTTGAAAACGATCGGATTTTGCAAGTTTCGGACGAAAAGTGTCGACGGAAAGTTGTTGAAGGAGCTGGCGGCGGTCCGGTCTAGCCGCCCCGCTTGTCTTAACTAGAAGAGCAGTTTGCTAAAGCGCTCGGAAACAGAGCGGCCGCGTCACACTCCGACCGTTGCCACTCGCACGGTCGAGGCGGGGCTCACGAGCCCGGACAGGCACCGCCCGATGCCAAGCCGCGTTTCGTTGAGAGTCCCACGGCGGGGCCGCAGCAAGGCAGTGGATTTGCCAGAAAGGCCGGTGCGGTCGAAACCGCGGACGCGTTTTGAGCTCCAGAGTCGCTAAGTGGGGCTGGAGCCGGACGTGTGACCCCACCAATGGATTGCTCTCCGAACGAGGAATCCATTGGTGGGGTCACACGTCCGGTTCGAGTCCTGTTCAGCGACTCTGGAGCTCTGCACGCGTCTAAGTGCCGCCTCGCCGCCGTGCCCGCTGCCGGGGGGGCGTTGAGACGCGTTGAGATCGCTGCTCGTGCAGGCCTCCACGGCCACTATGCCCTGGCCCGCTTCGGCCCGCCCTAATGCCAGCTTCTCGTTGCAGGTGCCCTCCAGCACGCACAAGAAGGAGCTCCTGGAGCACCTGGACAGAGTGCCCACCTACGTGCAGCAGCTCCAGTTCACTGTAAAGAACTCGACGGTCGGCAAGGCCGCCACCTTCACCAAGGTGGACAATGTGATTCACGAAACTAAAAATTTAATGAATGTCATATCAAAGGTGGTCACCACGTGCTTCGTGTGCGCCACTAAGGTAAGCAGACGCGTGCAGAGCTCCACAGTCGCTAAATGGGACTCGAACCGAACGTGTGACCCCACCAATGGATTGCTCTCCGAACGAGGAACCCATTGGTGGGGTCACACGTGGACGCTGCTTTGGACGTGTGCGGTTTACGCCCCACGCGTTCAAACAGTGTACATCAGTGTGCTAGTGTTTCAAATATTCTTTCCAGAGGGTTCCGTGAATTTGTTTCCTCCCTGCTAGTTCAACTTGCCCATGGTTCGCTAGTTGAATCTGGTCTCAAGTGCATCCCTTTTCTCTCCACCACTAGTTCAAGCTGGCCATGCCCGAGCGGGTGCTGCTCTGGTTCAACCAGGCGCAGCCCAAGGCCCAGCCCAGGGCCCCGGCCAAGGCCCAGCAGAACCAGAACCCCCCGCAGCAGGCCGGCCCGCGGCTTCCCTACAGCCGAAGCCAAACTCTGCCGCGCTGACTTGTCCTCGATCTTGCCGTCTGGGCTGAGCCCGGCCGCCCAATCGGTACACCGTGACACACACACTAACCCACCGTGTGTCGCAACTAATCCCCCCGCACGCGCCAGGTTTCGCACGGTGACCGAGAAAGGTCCCGCGCGTCGCTGAAATCGATGCCGATTCGAGAGTATCGCACCCCTCTCTTGCTCGCGGGGGCTTAACGCTCAAACTAACCCCTCTGCCGGCTCTCAAAACTCTGGCTTGAAAAAAAATTAGTTCGCTTTTGTAACGTTGTGCCTTGTCGCAACGGAGTGTTCTGAGTGTGCAACGTTGTTTAATGCTTTGTGACCCTTTCCAGCAGTGGCTAATCTTCATTTCTCGCAGGGTGTTTCCTAATAATGACGTATGTTTGTGGTTGGCATGTGTCTTGATACGAATCTGCTCCAGCACTGCGAGGCACGGCTAGCCAGACCTGTAATGTGGACTTCTGCCGATCCGTGCTAAGCAGTGCTGCTGCTCTCTCGTCAATTCCGGGCAGCGTCTTGGTCGCACTGTCTCTCTCGCACTCACGGGGCGTTTTTAAAAATTTCAAAAAATTTCTAATTTTTCTGAAACTTTCAAAATTTTTCTAAAACTTTCAAAATTTTTCTAAAAATTTCGAAATTTTTCAAAAAAAAAATTTCAAATTTTTCAAAAAATTTCAAAATTTTCAAAAAGTTTCAAAACTTTTTAAAATTTGTACAGTTAAACTTTCCGTACCGAAATTTTTTGAAAATTCTCGTAATTTTTTTAAAAATTTCAAACATTTCATTTTTTTTGAAACTTTTCCAAAAAAAAAAATTCGAACGCGTAGGGGTGCAAGAGAGACAGAGCGACGAATAGGCGCTGTTCCCGCTGCTTTTCGCCCTGCCCTGACGCCCCTCTCTCTGTTGCAGTATAACCTGGACTTCCGCGGGCTGTCCGCCCATGGCTCGTCTGGCTCCCCGTACCGTGAAGATGAGGGGGTGGGGTCCGGCGCGGGCGGCGAGGGCAAGGGCGGTGGGTCGGCAGGCTCGGACCCCTCCATGTGACAGTTCGGGATGGGCCGGAGGGCCAAGGGTGACGCTCGGCGCACCCGCGTGTCCTTCCTGCTCTTCTAGACACCGGGCGTGCCATACGCCCGCGGGGGTCTGCGTCATACGACGTGACCCCGCACCGCTAGCGCTGCCCCGGCCGGGGGTTGGCCGTACCGGGGGTCGCGGGGCCCCGCATGCCGGGCCTCGAGGCAGGTCCCAGGTCCACGGGACGCGGAGGAGACGAACGCCTCAGGGCGTCAAAATTAAGCACCCAGTTCATTAATCGAGTTAAATCGGAACAAACCGAGTTGAAATCAGAAACAAAGTCATTCTAGCGAAAGCGAATTTTCCCAGTACAATCCTAGAACTTTCCGAAACGCTCATCCACTTTGAAACCGTCCCTCGGAGAGACAAGGAATAAAACGAACGCCTTCCTCCTCACGCTCCGTTGACGTCGTTGATATGTGGACCTGCCTCTGGCCCTGGCGCGCCCTGGCGGTGCATTTGGCAGTGTGGTGGCCCCGCCGCCCCCCACGGCGAGTCCCCGGTGCAGCGCGCGCGCGCGTGCGGCCGTGCCAGCCGGAGTGAAGCCCGGGCCGCGGAAGCGCGCGGAAGCAGCCCGGGTCTCGCTGCTGCCTGGAAACAGCAGCGGCTCCGGTGGCCGGGGGCACGCGCGGACGCGCTCGCCCGGGTGGAGCAGCGGACGGTCAAGATCGCTCACTTTGCTCACTTTGCTCGCTTTAAAAACAACAACAAAGAGAAAAGAACAACTAGGGCGCACTCCGGAGCATGGCAGGCGTGTCCGGCGCCCCTCTCTCTGTCTGTCTCTCTCTCTCTCTCCCTCGCTGTCCGCCCGTCAGGCGCTGGACGCAGCCCGCCATGCGCCGGAGTGGGCCGCAAGTGCCCGGGGCAGTTTGCACCCGCCCCAGTTTTGGCAAAGAGCGTAGACAGTAACTTGAAAACCAGACTACTGGACATTGGATCTTGACCTCCGCCCGCCACCTGGGTCGGTTCGCCACAGAAAGGCTGGGTCTTCCCCAGCTCCATTTCGAGTTTGAGAAAGTCAGCTGGCGCCACTGGTTTGCTGTGCAGTGGCTGTCGTGCCAGCTCTGTCCTTTACGAGTTGTTGGAAATGGAGGAATGGGATGTGGACTGATTACCTGTTTCTAAAACGTTTTTCTCTAGCTGATTTATTCTTTGAGCCTGCACTGCCAAAACAATGCATCCAACAACAACGTTGTTTGAAGTCTTGCTGACTTTGTCAAGATTTCTGAAGTATCTTGCATTGCATTGGATGATTTTCAGTCGGCAGAGTTGGAAAGAGAGAAATCACTAGAAAGTTCATTTCTCAATGGAACAGCAGTCCACTCTGGGGAAGGCCCATGACACCTCACCAGTCGCTGGTTGCTGGAACACCTATGCGCGTTTCACAGGGTAGAAATTAAATCATATCATTTGGTCAAATGAATCAAGCTACATATCAATGAAGAGAGTTAGAGAAACTCTCATGTAAGGCCTTTCGCCATTTGTTTCATTTGTTGAATTTCCAGAAAAATACAGAGGTGCTAAATTTGAAGAGAGTAAAATAATCTCAGCGCTGTACATCCAGCTAAGTGTGAGGTGTCTAGAAACGTAGCACAGTTATTGTGTTTCTCAAACTCCGTACTTCAAATTTCGTTAAGATTTTTAAAAATTAAGAGAGTGAGTTTGAGAGATGCAATCATTGAAAAGGCTGCTGAAAACGCACTTTCCCTACCTGTTTCAAAAGCAACATTTTTTGCCTAGACTTATTCCGGGGGAAGTTGCATGCTGCAGTCTTTTCAGTGTTGTGTGATGGTGGGGCAGCGCTATTAATCTAAAAATAATTTTGTAAGGTGACCACCCGAAAGACATTCAATATGTGTATCTTTTCTGACTTGTGCCATAACAGAACAATCGTTCTATAACCATTAAGAGCAAACATTGTACATCTCAATAATTCAAGTTGGTTCCCAGTTATTCACAGCCTTGGCTGGAAAAGTGCTTCCACCTGTGTTGTTATTTGTTGTTATTGTTATTACACGTTTGTTACCCTGCCTTCTGACATCATCTCTCCCCATGTTTCACTATGTATGAATCCCTGCTGTCTGAATATTGTGAAAAATGACTGAAGCCCTGAGACTTAGGACCCTCTTGTACCTTATATTGATGGAGCTTATGTTTTTTTTTTTTGCTTTGATTGTGTTTCAAGTGATACAAATGTTTGCGAATTTTCCAATAATGGGTCCTGTTCAGTTTGCTGTAGTGTCCTCTTTGGTTCGTTCCTGTAAGTGATTTGTTGTAAGGGTATATGGAAAATCAAGTTGCTTGATGGGAATTTCATCCCGAAATTGGTGGTGAATTTCCCATCACGACGCTACCATTGTATTATAGTTTTCATAGGTGCCTACTATGTTTACATGTGTACGTAAGTTAAGACTTATCATTCAGGCTGGGGCTTTGTGCTCTTTTCATTTAAGTGATTGTTAAGTGTTTATTTATTTCAATTTGTGTAGTTGATAATTTTATCATATCTTTCTGCGTATCAGACATTTGTGCTTTATGTTTTCTAATTGTGTGATAAGTGAATTAGTATGTATGGTGTTGTATTAATGTGTAAGTTAAGTCTTTTACATGTCTGTTTGAATTTTAACTCTGGTCATAAATTTTGGCCCATAATGTACTTTGGCCTTTATCATGTTTACATTTTTTTTATAGGGTGGGATGCGGATGCTAAATTTAATGTTGTTCTCTAGTCTAAACCATAGCATTTTCTGAGTCTTTTTTGTGTATATTCCTTACCTTTGTTGAGTTACCTCAGAGGCAGGTAGGAAGCGTGTCATGTTTTCATTCCCAGAAGCTTACATGTTTGTTTGAAATCTTATTTATAGTTGCAAATTTGGATACTACTGAATGTATGAAGTGTGATGTTTCATGCATTGTCAAAATAGTTCTGCACCGACTAAGAGAATATTTTTGTATGTTGCCTGTATCAAGATAATTTTGGAGGAACGTGCCATTCAGCATATTGTGGTTAAGAAACAAAGATGCTTCCAAGCAAATTTAAAAGTTTCTGTGATTCTACTGAAGCTCTGTTGAAAATGTATTGTCAATAATTTGTTGAAAACACCTACATAGCTTTGATGATGGAAGTAATGTGGTAGTCACCTCCTGTTATTTTGAGACATGGTCTGTAGTGAAATCTTTAGCTCAACATGGCCTGAAAAAGGTGAAAGTTGACAATCATTTATGAAACACTTTTATGGCTTTTCTGATTTGGAATATAGTGTGTAGCATTTTTGATGGTGTTCAGTCATGAAAATTAGACAAAACTGGGTATTTCATTGATCAGGGATCAGTCTAATGGCTCTTTGTACACTTTTTGTACAATCTGATCCGTTGTCTGAGTTATTTTGCCAGAAAACTGTTTCAATCCTTGAATTTGCATATTTAAATCATATGTTCTTCAATCATAATGTGACATTCAGTGCTAGTTGAATTCTAGTTTATAAATATATGTTATGTGTAATTGATTCCCTTGACTCAGAGCTTGAACATTGCAAAATATCTCAACAGATAAAATGTATGAACGCATTGTTGCTTAACAGATGTTTCTATTTTGTAATGAGTTTATAAGCTATAATATATGTTGTACTGGTTACATTTTTTCGCCTGCAGTTAGATTTTTTGCTTGAGTTGCCTAGGCAGTGTGGCTGATAGTGTTGTTATAATTGTCTTGTTTGTTATTTTTAAAAAGTATATTTTTTCGTATTTTTAATGTTTAGATTGTTGGTGCTGTTGTATACTAGAAAGATAGGCTGGCAAATTCAATAGTTTTTCAAACCCTGCATAATTTTTTAAAAATATCTATGTGTTTGTTGTTGTTTTCTTTCTCAATGTCTTTTTCAACTTGTTTTTCAGGGCAAACCATTAGTGTTCAGAGTAAGTTCTGTAGGAAAGCCGTGATAGTATTGTTGTGCCAAACTCCTCTCTGTAATTTAATCATTGTGTATGACTCTGAGTCTTTAAATCATCTTCCTGTATCTCTGCAAAGAAAGAGAGAATTTATGAGGGTTTTGATAGCTAGTCACTGGAATGAAATGAAGGCTCTTGGTCAATGATCTAATGATGGCTTCTGCAAGTAGTCTGTAAATACGGTCAGATTTGCTGAATGGTCTTCTTTTGTCAGGGAATCAATTCATTGAACTGCATTTATTTTTTTCCTCTGATTGAATCTAGAAGTAAATCCAACCTATCAGTGTTGTAACATTTATACTTTATGTCTATTTTTGTAACATCAAATCATTTGTTAAATCTGAGCCTGTGTGCTGTGAGCGAATGAACTTTCAGCATAATTAGAGTGAGCTAAAATAATCTAATTCTGAAGAAGCATCATTATTGTGGTTTGCTTCCCTTGGTCCTAAATTTGAATGACATCAACATGTGTTTCTGAATCAGTAATTTTGCCATATTAGTCCTCAATCTTCTTGTCATTTGTGTAAGATCATATTTGATGAGACAGTTTCGAAATGTCCTCAGTATGCAATTTTAACTTAAGCTTTGTGACTGATTAATTCTTATTGTAAACGGATCTCAGGTTATGCTGGAATCAGAACTCACAGCCTACATAGGTCCTGCACTTAGGAAGTTATTAATGCGCAGAACGCTTTGTGCTATTGCTGGAACAAACTCTAGGCAGAAATTGTTACTAACTGTTCATTAGTTCATATCATTTTAAACTAGTCAGATTCACGTTTTACTACTTTTGTGAGCCTCCAGTAGAAAACTTGCCTTATCCATTACCAAAAGAAAAGCAAAAATTTGTTAAAAATATAATGCGTATAGAGTTATTCTTATAGCAATATCCCCAGCAATCTGTTTTAGAGCAGAAGCAGAACATGTAGTGTGCTCAATCCTACTTTCCTCCCAAATGTAGTTAAGGTATTTTTATTACATTGTGCAAAACTTTTGTGACAGAAAGACATTAACTTTCTCAACTGGATATGTTGCAAAATTTTATAAGACTTGATTGTTGTGATATCAGATCATGAGATCATACCATTGATGCTTCAGCAAAACTGCAAGCAGCCTGTGAAGTACAATCGCGAACTTCGCCATCTGTGTATTTGTGGTCTGTTTAAAAATGCGCCTTTAATATCAGGTCCTATCAAAACAAATTGTTTCCAATTTAAACCTTTTTTCCCCATGATAGTAGTCCCAATTAGAAATGATGATGTCTGTTAAGGAGCATAAATTTTAGTGGGCTGTCAGAAATTTGTATTCTGAAAAAGTGACCTTCCTGTTTTGTTTTGTTTTTAAATCGAATCTGTTGCTGTTGCTGCAAAGTCTGATTCTAACACTCCTAGCACTTGTTCTCTCGAGTCTCTTGAGTGTATTCATTGGTCCGTTACCCAATATTGATGAGAGCCCTGATACTGCTGCATTTATTCTGTTGTAGGAAAGTTAGATTCAGACCAACCCATTTCAGTCCTATCATAACATCTTTTTACACTTAGGATTTTTTAATTTGAATCACCAAATGTCATTCAGTTTCAAAACATATCATTGTAGATTGGGAGGTATGTAACTGAAGCTTTTGTTAAGTCTAGTTATGTGTTTTTTCTTAAATGTTCTAATTGGTGTCCTGAGAGCAAGTGAATGTGTGTAGATCAGTTTTCCTTTTTTACAAAAAATTGTTTAATCGTGTAACTGTGTATCATGTGTAATTGTCTATTGAAGTACAAAGCATGAGAGTTATTTTATTTATTTAATTGTACTAAAAGTGTTTGAGCTTAGGTATTTTTTGTGGAGGCGACAAATTAAAAATTCTTTAATCATGTTATAGAACTGAGATTTGTATTTTTGTTTTTGTGAACAATAAATTGTTTGCCTGTCTTTTACTGCTAAGACAACGATTTAGTTATTTCTCTATTCCTCTCTATTCCCTTCGGAGTCAGATAGAAAGAGAACAGTCAGTGGAGCTCCGTCTGCACGCCATGGGTATGTCTCGGCCTGTCTCTCTCGCACACTTGGCAGGCCTCACCGGGCTGCTGGGACACTGTGAGTCGGTCTGCAGTGCAGGAGCCGCGCACCGGCTCTCCGAACGAGGAATCCATTGGTGGGGTCACACGTTCGGTTCGAGTCCTGTTTAGCGACTCTGGAGCTCACAACGCGTCTAGAGTTTTGGCCGCCTCCACCGGCCTTCTGGCCCACTGTGCGCCTGGAGCCTGGGCTCCTCCTGCCGGCGCGGCGCGGGGGTTCCGCGGGGACGGCGCGGGGAAGGGCGCGGCACCAGCGGCCCCCCATTGGTCGCGGCCGCGGGGCCTCCACCAATGAGCGCGCCGCTCCAGGGGCGGTCCAGGGAGGGGGAGGGGGAAGGGCCGCCGTGTCTGGACCGCCGGACCGCCAAGGAGGAGGGCATGAAGGTAGGCAACCAGTTCAGCAGCACTGTCCACGCCGCGGAGAACGGCCCATCCCGCGCGGTCATGTAGCCTGATGAGGCCTCCGGGCAGCCTGAGTGCACCTGACTGACCAGTGCACCTGACAAACCAGTGCACCAGACTGACCAGTGTACCCGCAGCCTCCTGAGCAACGCACCGGGACTTCGCACTCCGACCGCCAACGCAGCGACGAAAGCTCTCTGTGGATAAACGTGAGTACACTGACTGGGGAGAGTTAATTTTCCGCGCACGATTCCGGAGAGAATATTTCTCGCCCCGGTGGCGTGCGAGGAAGGTCAGTCTTCTGAGTACGTTTCCGCCGCACAGCTCTGGCTTTTCCAGTTGGCGGGGCCCGCAGGGCGACCCCGGAATAGCACGCTAACGTGATGACAGCGTCACTTTTACTCACGTCAGCCAGAGTGACTCCAACATCAGCTGGAGTGACTCCCCCTCGGAGCGCCGTGGCAGGTAGGCCGCCGGACGCCGACCGACGCGCGCGTGCGTTGCGGCACGGCCTATCCCGGACACTGCAGGCGCTCGGCCGCACGGTGGGCCAGCAGACCGGTGGAGGCGGACAAAACTCTAGACGCGTTTTGAGCTCCAGAGTCGCTAAACGGGACTCGAACCGAACGTGTGACCCGACCAATGGACTGCTCTCCGAACGCGAGGAATCCATTGGTGGGAACACACGTTCGGTTCGAGTCCCTTTTAGCGACCATGGAGCTCAAAACGCGTCTAGAGTTTGGCCGCCTCCACTGGTCTTCTGGCCCCCTGTGTGAGAATCTCAAAAACATGTCTGAGACCTCATTGCTCACGCAATTTCCTTTCGCATTGTGGAAAATTTAGAGTGTGTCAGTCATCATTAGACAGAGCGCGCGTTCCCCTCGTGTAATGCATTCTGCCGCCGAGTGACGAGTGCGAGGGGAGGGGCGAAAAAAAGGGTGCTTGTGGTGAGCGAGAGAGGGGGAGACGCAGACGAATGGTATGACGTATCACCTTAGGAAACTGGAACCCCAACGCCGCGTGGCACACTGTGGCACACGCCTGCTGCCGTCCCCTCCCCGCCCTCCCCTTCGCCATGCCTTCGCCACAGTGTGCCACGCGACCGCCCCAGGCGAACCCGCCACCCATAAATTTATGTGTTCCAGCCGGACATCGCCACACTTAACCTTTCCCTTCGTCGCACGCTTTCCGCGTCGCCCCGCCGCGCGTGCGTGTTCCAGTGTTCCAGCGCGGTGGAGCTGCAGCGCGCAGTGGGCCAGAAGACCGGTGGAGGCGGACAAAACCCTAGGCGCGTTTTGAGCTCCAGAGTCGCTGAATGGGGCTCGAACCGAACGTGTGACCCCACCGATGGATTCCTCGTTCGGAGAGCAATCCATGGGTGGGGTCACACGCTCGGTTCGAGTCCTCTTTAGCGACTCTGGAGCTCACAACGCGTCTCGAGTTTTGTCCGCCTCCACCGGTCCTCTGGCCACTGCGCCCAGTCCCTGTCGCACTCGGTGCTGCGTTAACGTTCCTGGCACCGCCCTGGAGAGGCCACGGCCCGCGCGCGTGGCAGGGCATTGGCCATCGCACCTAGTTGGCCGCCTGGAAGGTAGGCGGGGCGCGCGCTCTGACACCGTAAGTAAGCAAACAGCGCATTTCGCGTGAATTTCGGCGGAAACACGTCCGTCCGCCTGTCTGCTCCTCTGAAACACCAAGAGTGAATTGGAAAGAAATACCTAGTAGTGCGAATCGCCTTTTCTGCTTTTCCTTCTCCTTCTTCTTCCCCCTGAAGCCCCCATTAGGCGTATCAAGTCACCAGGCCATCGACGCCATTGGCTCGGCGCGGGCGGCGACATTGGGGTGACACTCGAACAGTGGGGCGGGCCGGCCGGGTCGTAAAGGAATAACTAGACACTTTATCGTCTGGGCGTGTCTAGCGGTGTTTTACAGGCCCAGCCCGGCCGAGCCCCAGAGACTCACTCTCTCTCTCTCTCTCTCTCTCTCTCTCTCTCTCTCTCTCTCTCTCTCTCTCTCTCTCTCTCTCTCTCTCTCTCTCTCTCTCTCCCCCTGGAAAAAGCGCGCGTCGCCAACCATTAGGTTCCCGGTTCACTTAGAAAGGATATCGATACGGCGGAGGTATCGGCTGCGAACTAATGACGCGGTGACGATAAACACACAGCACGGGCAGGCGGACGGACAGACAGACAGACAGACAGACTGACAGAAAGGCAGACAGACAGACAAACAGACAGACAGACAGACAGGCAGACAGACAGACAGACGGACAGACAGAAAGAAAGACAGACAGACAGACAGACAGACAGACAGACAGACGAGCGGCCTGACTGACAGCGCAGGGCGGCGCAGGGCGGCGCAGGGTGTCCCAGCCAGTCCCAGGTGCCCAGGTGCAGGAAGCAGCGATTTTGAGAGTCGCCGAGTCGTTCCGATAGGACGATACGACGCTTTGCCGAGCCGAGGCATATCTATGTGAGTGGGAAGGGAAAAGAGGAAAGCCTGGGAAGGTGTGGGACACCGCGCCGCGGAGGAGGGGAGGTCGGCAGTAACCCGCAGCCAGGCAGGCAGGCAGACAGACAGGCAGACAGGCAGACAGGCAGACAGGCAGGCAGACAGGCAGGCAGGCAGGCAGGCAGGCAGACAGGCAGGCAGGCAGGCAGGCAGGCAGGCAGACAGACAGGTGCCCGGGTCTCCCACACGGAGGCCGTAGTTTGGTACCAGATCGCCGAGCGTCGCTACGCGTATCGGACTCCAGACGCGTGCCTGCCTCCACCGTCGGCGTCGTTTGAGACCGAACCGCAGCACGAACTGAACCCGTCGCCGCCGCCCCCTCCCCTCCCTCGCCGGCCCGGTGAATTCGTTCCGGACCGCACTCACAGCGGCGCGGTCTCTCTCGCACCCTCCCGGGCCGCGCCGCGAGTGCGAGAGAGACAGCCGCGACGGAAGCGGCCGACAGTGTCGCGGCGCTTGCGGCGCGCTCATGTCACGGCTGCGGTAAGGCGGACCAGAGGGGCGGTCCCATTCACACATCTGGAGGGGATTTCAGTTACGGTCGGACCGAAGTTGGCTGGCGGGGCGGGGGAGGGGGCGCCGGCAGCGTGCCTCGCCAGGTATTTCAGTGGGCCAGAAGACCGGCGGGCCGGCCGAGAAGAGAGAGCATTTAGCGACTCTGGAGCGTAAAACGCGTCCGGGGTTTAACCTGGATTCTGGACGACCGAGTGACCGCGCCAAAGTGAATGACTCTGACCCGCGAACGGCGATACCATCAACTTTATGCCGCAGCGGGGGAGAGAGAGAGAGAGAGAGAGAGAGAGAGAGAGAAGAGAGAGAGAGAGAGAGAGAGAGAGAGAGAGAGAGAGTCCGACTCAAAATTGCGCGCGGCGTTGCGTGGCAGCGCAGCCACCCCATGCGGGACCATGCGGGACCCTCCACCGGCCGCGTCCGAAAGCCCCGGCCGCTGCCTCTCTCGCACGCACCGGGCTGCGTGCGGAAACGCCACCCCTGCAGACCGGTTCCGCAAGTGTGTCTCTCTCGCGGGCGACCCGTGGTGCGAGAGAGACGGAAGGCGGACGCAGCCCCGAGGGCAGCCCTTTCAGGCCTATCGCAGGAAGTGCAGTTGGTGGGCAGGATAGCCAACATTGTCACACGCCGACACCTACGCCTGGTCTGCCGCCCCGCCGATTTGGCGCGGCTACGTTGGCAATGGTAGTTCGCTTGCTCTCTTAGCACGTTACTGACTTTCTCCCCATTACTTAATTGCCTATTCGTCTAAGCAAACAAGAATACTTAGTATTTTCTAAGCAAGTATGACTAATTTCCTTTGTGAAATTATGTACAAAACCAAATTGTCAGTACATTATTTTAATATATCCTAAGTAGCTCTTTAAAAAAAAGGGAAAAGTACGTATTATGGTTGCACAAATTACGTGCACAAGGACTGACAAAACGTGCAAAAAGTCAGTAACGTGCTGAGAGCGTGTCGTGCCAACCAGACGTGTTCACAGTGATGTGGTACTTCCGGCATTACCGGAATGAACAGTATTCATGAGGCGGAGCTCGTGGTACATAATTTGAATTTAAACAAACAATAATTTAAATTATAACAAAATTTTAACAAAACCTTTGCGTTACAACAATTTTTTTTTAAATAATGCGTTTCAAACTTTACTTCTACTGGTCTGAATTTTCCATCGCCGACAGTTCGAAGAGAAGGTAATTTTCTGGCGGAAGATTTTTAGCCGGCGGCATCGCGTGAACCGAAATTATTGCAGAGAGGCCTAACAGCGATGATATTGATAATGTGCCTGTCTCTACAACCACACCGCAGTGCGGCGAGTGCCAGTTGTCCACTTCGGTAACGCCAGATGCGCGCAGCATGTACCAGCAGTAAGCTCCCTGAAACCATTTTGAAGCGGCTACAGTGGAAGTTAAGCTAAACTATCATTGTGGATAATTCGCTCCTGGCCTAGCACTGTTTCTAGTTGGTAACAATCATGGTCCACATAGATGTTGTCCACATTTTTAGTGTTATTCACGTTTAGTTTCACTCTCAGACTCGCTATTCACATTTTGTCAGTAGCACCTCTAGTTTTTGTGCAACAATAATACGTACATTTCGCTTTTGCAATTTTAACTTACGTGTTTGTTATTACTTATCAGCAAAAAAAAATATCCTAAACAATTTTAAGCAGTAAATTGTATGTATCCAAGAAGAGATTACTACGCATTATTGTTGTAGGCAACAGTACCTGGTTACTGACGATGAAGTCAGTAAGAGGTTGAGAGTGTTCTCAATGGAGCGCCTGCAAAAGTGCAAACAGAATGTTTCCCTCCTGTGTAGTGCGAATACGAAGATGGATCCTGGTGAGAGTGCATTTTCTCGGGGCAGCAGGCCTTCTTCTCTCCACGCAAGGCCAGCCTATTGCGGTACGAAACCACGGCCACCCTTAGGGTTTTTCCTCAGGAAATCGACAGAAAACAAGTGTGCAAAAATGTTTTTATTTCCACATCAAAATTGATTTTACGCTAAATTTAATTTCCCACTGTGCCAGCATAATCTCTCAACTGTCACACTGTGTGCAGGGCCCGTACTTTGTCGACATAGAAAATGTGGAGCCGTGCCCGCCCAGTTTGCTAGATCGTCCATATCCGCTTACTATTAGTATGAAGAGGTACCGCCAAAACCCAAACGATAAATATTTCGACGCAAATCTCACCATAAGTTCGGCTTTTGATGACGCCAAGACTGTGAGTGTCCATGTGTTAGCGTGCAAAAAACGAAAATAAAATGCATTGAGATGTTAATGCTATTATGACCCCAACTATCACATGCAGTCACAAAATAAAGAAGTATTGCAGTCCGTGACGTGGAAATGAGAGGCAAAATGACATCATGTCACGAACACATCAAAAAGAAAACATTGTGAATGTTTCCGTGTTTGTTGAGGGGCATCATCGATATGCTTTGTGAACATTGTTTCTGTTTTGAGATCCATACCGACTTCGCCTCTTGGAGCTCACGAGGCGGCTGGAAGGAACATGCCTTGGCCATGAAAATCCCACGAGCCTGCTCGACTTTGAACAACTACCTCCCCGGCATCGCCAAGCACGTCTGGAACAATCTTCAAGGGCCCGGCGGACGCGTCACGCACTGCCCGGTGCCACCGGTACGCACAGTGGGCCAGAAGACCGGTGGAGGCGGCCGAAACTCCAGACGCGTTTTGAGCTCCAGAGTCGCTGAATGGGACTCGAACCAAACGTGTGACCCCACCAATGGATTGCTCTCCGGACGAGGAATCCAATGGTGGGATCACACGTTCGGTTCGAGTCCCAAAAGCCTGCTTCACTCTTCCAGGGCTCGTACAGCATCCGGAACCTGTCCGTCGCCTTGCTGGACTCTCGGACCGCGACACTGCCGGCTATGTTTTACGGCAGATGGCGCCTGGAATCTAAAGTCCTTGATAAGGGTGCATGCTTCATGTGCGTCCGCCTGACCGGAACGGTAATTCCCAGGACTCCATCCCAGGGCTAGGAGCGAGGCTAGGAGGTACCAGTGCCTCAAGAGGTTCGGCTTGATCGGAGAATCGCCAATAAACTGACAGCAAATCATATAAGCATCAACAACACCATTTTTAACCAATATAAAGGAAAACATTTGGCACTTTGTCACTTCGAGCTCTCGAAACGAAACGCGCATGCCGAGTTGAGGTCAACCGGCGGCGGCAGTTAGGTCTCTCCATCCGCACGCCACTGTCGTCGGCGCGCCGCTACACTGTTGTCGCCGGGGCATTTTGCACATCATTCAAGGGCGGCGCAAAAGGGGAGGGGGAAAGGGGGGGGGGGTATGCGTCGCACCTGTGTCTCCAGCCAGTCTCTTGGCCTTAAGGCCGCCAGCCATCACCCGGGGTGACAAACACACGGGGCTTCTTCTCGCGACACGTCCCCTCCCCTCCCCCTCCCCCCACGTCATACCCCATCCCCCTCCTCAACATCCGCGCCCTTTTTTTCACTCGCAACGAGCAGCAGCGGTCACAACCGAGCGCGCACGTGTGTGTGTGTGTGTGTGTGTGTGAGTGAGTGTGCGTGTGTGGTGTGAGAGAGAGAGAGATAGAGAGAGAAGGGAGGGGGGGTTACGCGTGAGCGCGTGAGGGTTCGTCCGCGTGTGCGTACTGTCTGTCGCAGTTTTGCTACTACATGCTTTTCAGCCACTACATCTACAACTTACGGCATCCGCCCGCAAGCGGCTACAACACAACAACGCCCCGGTGTTCACGCCCCCCGCCCCGCCCCGCCCCGCCCCGCCCCGCCTTCGCTGAAAGAACACTCCTGGGGGTTGGCATTACGACGCGCTGCCTTCGGTGTTGCGCTGTTTCTGTACAGCCTTTTGGCTGCAGAGTGTTTAGAGAGCTGTGTGTGTGTGTGTGTGTGTGTGTGTGTGTGTGTGTGTGTGTGTGCGAGTGTGTGTGTGTGAGGGCGAGGCTGACAGTGTAGGGTTGAGTAGGTGGGCGGGACGGACGGCCCCCGGGTTAGCGCGGCCCACCAGGCAGACCCCGCCATGCCGTGCCACGGCGTGCCATGCCGTGCCAGGACCACGGCAGCGGCGCCGCCAAGGCAGACGCAACTCAGCTTCTCCCATTCTTTTCTCCCCCCACCGCGTCTTCCATCTCTCTCACTCCCACGCCGCGCATCGCCAAGCCGCGGCCTCGCTGTAAGTGGCGCGGACCGGTGGAGGCGGCCGAAATCCCGGACGCGTTTTGAGCTCCAGAGTCGCTAAATGGGACTGGAACCGAACGTGTGACCCCACCAACGGATTGCTCTCCGAACGAGGAATCGAGTGGTGGGGTCACACGTTCGGTTCGAGTCCCATTTAGCGACTCTGCAGCTCAAAGCGCGTCTAGCGTTCGCGTCGGCGGCGCTGGTTTTCTGGCCCACTGTGCTGCCATGCCGCGCCGCGCCCTGCCCACCTTCGCCCGGCCTAATGTCTCAAGTGCAGCCTGCACCTTATTGCAACTTTGCTCGTTACCGCCGCGTTGCCATGGTGACGCCGAGGCCCCATCGGCCTTTGGTCTCCACGCCTGCACTCCGGGAAGCGCCTTTGACATCGAAAATAGGGGATCCGAAACCGCACAGTGGGCCAGAAGACCGGTGGAGGCGGCCAAAACTCTAGACGCGTTTTGAGCTCCAGAGTCGCCAAATGGGACTCGAACCGAACGTGTGACCCCACCAATGGATTGCTCTCCGAACCGCCAATACCGTAGGCCTAAGTGTCGAAAAATTTACAGTGATGCAGTGAACTAGCACGATACGAAGTGGTCCAACGTCCGCGCTTGGCGATGCTGATGTCCTTCCCGACCACGACAAAGGCGGTGTGGCCCGGCATGGCACCCACTCCACTGTCCTAACTTACCTTGTTGACTGGAGGGCGACGCTGGGGGCAATACCGCTGGCCCCTGCGACCCCAGCGCGACCCACCCCTCCCCCCTCCCCACCTCAGTCAACCCCGAGCACCGCCCAAAGCCCAGGCCCGCCCAGGCCCGGCCGCACCACGAGCCTGTACACTGGCAAATAGCTAAATCTGCTCCCTGAGCCGATGCGCCGCGCGCCCCTCCCTCTAGTTGTTGGGCCCGACAAAAAGGGAGACGAAGAGGGACTTTGGTTCGACTAAATTTAGGTGGCGTTGTTCACCAGTTTCCTGATTTTTATTCCGTTGACTGTGAGGAAGCGCTCCGCGGTGGGGCGGCCAAAACTCTAGACGCGTTTTGAGCTCCAGAGTCGCTAAATAGTACGCGAACCGAACGTGTGATCCCACCATTGGATTGCTCTCCGAACGAGGAATCCATGGGTGGGGTCACACGTTTGGTTCGAGCCCCATTCAGCGACTCTGGAGCTCAAAACGCGTCTAGAGTTTCGACCGCCTCCACCGGTCTTCTGGCCCACTGTGCGCTCGCCCTCGGCGGCCGAGGTGTTCCCGCGGCCCCTCAAGTGCAGCTTATTGCAAAGGTGTCCCGCCCAGGCCGCCCACAAGAGCAGCACAATTCACCGGGACGACCCTGCCGCAATCGTCAGCAGTGCCTACACTGTTTACTTTCTGCTCTCTTGTACGATCTTTCTTCCCCGAAGGAAGACGCGGATTCCGACCGTTCAACTGTTGAGAAAAAACTCTAGTCAGAGGGCAAAAGAGGGCCAGAAACCACTCTTTCAGGCAGAGTTAAGGGGCACTGTGAATTTCGGTGTACAAATCCAATAAATTTCGATGAATTTAAGTCCAATTTCGATGAATTGCAGTCAAATTTTGATGGATTTTAGTCAAATTTTTGTAAATTTTATGAATTTTAATGAATTTTACATATTGGTTGAATTTCGGTGTACAAATTTGGCTGGAGTTGTTTCCCCCTGGGCGGAGTCAGGAAAACCGGGATTAAGAAGACCAGACCAGTAGTTCACTCCGTTTCTGCTTCTTTATTCACTACATTAGTTCCTGCCGAGCACCCTGATGGACCGGACGCTCTGGCCCCAAGTGTACCTGCACCAGCACGGCGTCGACTTGGGGACGGGCGGTGCGTGGGCGTCGGGGGCGCAGTCCCCACAGACGGTCTTAGAGTACGCGGTGCTGGAGTAGCCACACGTGTCGAACTTGCACACCAAGCGCAGGTTCACGTCTCCGAGGTGCTTGGGGAAGTGGGCGTCCTCGGTGTAGACGGCTTGCGGGCCCTGCTTCTTGTAGGCGCCATTGGAGTAGATGGCCATGCTGTTGCCCTGGCAGTTGGGGTTCTCGTAGATGACCACGGTCACGTTGGTCGGCTGCCACCCCAGCGTCACCGCCGTCTTGTCAAACTTCTACAATAAAAATAAAAAAATTAAATAAAGAGGCTAAAATTTATTTTTTGGCAATTTTTAAAGTAGGAGGTCATGGGGATCCACCGGGAGGAAAATGTTTGGGTCAACCGCACAGTGGGCCAGAAGGAGGCGGTCGAAATTCCGGACGCACTTTGAGCTCCAGACTCGCTAATGGGACTCGAACCGAGCGTGTGACCCCACCAATGGATTGCTCTCCGAACGAGGAATCCATCGGTGGGTCACACGCTCGGTTCGAGTCCCATTCAGCGACTCTGGAGCTCAAACGCGTTAGCGGTCGTGCTCCTCAAGCAATGGTTGCCTCTCCTGGTAACAGAGGCATTCCCATCCTGGGGGTGCACTCGCATCGGTTCATCCATTCAGCGATATAGCTAATATCGCGTATTGCCGTTGTCGTCTTGTGTGTTTTAGCTTTAGCTAACTTTCGAAAAGCGGCAAGGCTCTCACCTGGGGTAAGCTACCGAGGCAGGTTCCCAAACTCTCTTCGGTAACCTCGTGCAAAAATTGTACGCCATCCTCGGGATAGAGTGTAATCAAGGATACAACGTAACCAAAGTTTTTTTCGACTTGCTATTCTATGGGTGGTTTGAGGCCACCAGAGTGGAGCCGTGTGCAACAGGCCCACATGCCGGAGGTTCGACTCCTAACAAATATTTCCATTTAATTTTACTGCCTCACCCAGTGCGGTTCAAACCCGTAAACGAGAGCCCGCTCTGAGCATGGGACGTGGTGGTCCTAGGAGTAGAGGCGTCGGTTCCCAGTGCTGGGGTCGGCGGTTCGACTCCCCTAACTTCTTGCGAATTTTTGACCAGGTCGGTCGAGTCCTGTTGCGTCAAGAACCCACCTCACGCCGCTCTACATTACACGGGCCGTGGTGGCCGAGAGCGTAAAGTCGTGTGATCCCGATGGCGGGGTCCGGGGATCGAATCCCATCATTTCATTACATTTTTCGACTGCCTTCCTCCCACTGCAATTCAAACCCGTCGTCCAACACTCGGCGAGACGTACAAGCGTGATAGCGTAGTGGTCAGAGTCACATTCACCTGGCCACTCCGCTGTGGGTGTCTAAAAAGCAATCCGCTTCGGCGGGTTGGCCTCGGCACTGGAGCGATGGCGTATTTGATCCATCAATCCAGACCATCCGGTGTGTGGTTGCGGGTGGTGCCTCCTTGATTCGTCGGGGAGGCGATGATAAGTCCTTTGAAGCTGGCCTAAAACGCTGTATGTTCGGTACGGGAGCGCCGGACAGTGGGGGTACCATGGGGTACACAACCAACCCTACGAAAACAAGAAGCTCCCACCAAACCTCCTCTCTGTCTGTCTCTCTCTGTCTCTCTATCTCTGTCACCCTACGATCGCCGGCTGCCCTCATAAGGCGGTCCTTCATGTGTAAGAAGGCAATAGCGGTCCTACAGAAGCTGAACTATGCGGTAGCAGTTTAAAGCCTGGACACACCGGTTCCCATCCGAACACCGAAGTTAAGCAGGCGGCTCGAACCCCCATTGCGGGGGGGAGAGGGTCGTAGGGTTCAAATTTTTTACGTTTTATTTTAAACCAAATTTTATGACTCCGTCGTGGGTACCATGTGTTGTTTTGTCGAGTGTTGAGGGGGCAGGGGGCTGAGGCGGTGGTAAGGTCGGACAAAAAGAGGTCGTAGAAAAATATTACAGCGGGAAGGAGGTCGGACGAATTTCGGCAGGTCGGACAAAAAGAGGCCGTACAAACGATGTAGACCCCACCTGACGTCGACTTCGGGGAAAAGCGGCGAACCTTCGTCCTCCAAGTGTTTAGCTCGAAACAGTGCGATGGCGAGCGAAGCTCTACAGTGCGATGATTTAAAATGCCCAACTCACGAAAAATGATCTTTTTTGAATGCTTTTCGCGATGGAAACATTTTTACGTCTGGTGAATAAACCATCGTGGTGGTCGGCATAGCCTCGACCTCACGGCAGCGCGGCTCAGCTCTCTATCTCTCTCGCACCCATGCGGGCGGCCCCGCGGCCCCGTGAGAGCGACAGAGACAGAGAAATCCATTCGTAATGAGTGGCTCGGTCTGTTGCCGAAACTATTTCGGCTGCAGCACTGTAAAAGGTGTGCCGAGGCGCCGCCGAGCAAACTTGCCTTTCTTGACGGACTGGTCGTCTTCTCTGTGCTAATGGGGCAAACGCGACTGGGACGCTCGCTCTCTCTCTCTCTCTCTCTCTCTCTCTCTCTCTCTCTCTCTCTCTCTCTCTCTCTCTCTCTCTCTCTCTCTCTCTCTCTCTCTCTCTCTCCCTCCCTCTCTTCTTTGCGTAGGAAGGTTCGCGAGCACACACTATCAGAGATGTCTTCGCAAAGCAAGGAATCCGCTTAAGATTCCAACGCGAATCCAACGAGGAAATTTTGCATAAGTGAGCTAACCGTTCTATGTGTAGGAAATCCAATTTTGTACTCGGGGTGCCCCGCACTTCCGTTCCGCGAAAACCCAGCCGACCCGCCGCGCGCCCGCCAGATTGCAATCGAGATGAGGGCGCACCACAGTGGGCCAGAAGACCGGTGCAGGCGGCCAAAACTCTAGACGCGTTTTGAGCTCCAGTCGCTGAATGGGACTCGAACCGAACGTGTGACCCCACCAACGGATTGCTCTCCGAACGAGGAATCCATTGGTGGGGTCACTCGTTCGGTTCGAGTCCCATTTAGCGACTCTGGAGCTCAAAACGCGTCCGGAGTTTTGGCCGCCTCCACCGGTCTTCTGGCCCACTGTGCGCCCGGGCAGCGCCGCCCTTGAACTTGGAGCGAAACGAAACCCCCGTTTGGGCAGCACAATTTTACTGGCGTGTCCACCTCCAACCGGCCGCGTGAGGAATGACTATGAGCGCTGAGCGCGTTCGGTTCAGTGTGTGTCTGTCGGTGTGTGTTTTTTTGCGTGAGTGTAGCCAGGTCTTTTTTTCGGAAGCGGTGCGAGGTGGGGGGCAAAGTCGGCGATAAAGAATGAAGAGCAATGAAGAAGCGGTGGACGTTTTGACCGGTCCGAGAGGGAGAGAGACAGACGCCAGACGAGCCATGAATTAGGAAGATGAAAGGATGTCCTGTGCGGTGTCTGTCCGCTTCGGCCCTGTCAGGCTTTCTGGGCAGTGCACAGTGGGCCGGAAGACCGGTGGAGGCGGCCAGAACACTAGACGCGTTTTGAGCTCCAGAGTAGCTAAATGGGACTCGAACCGAACGTGTGACCCCACCAACGGATTGCTCTCCGAACGAGGAATCCATTGGTGGGGTCACACGTTCGGTTCGAGTCCTGTTTAGCGACTCTGGAGCTCAAAACGCGTCTCTGGACTTTTGGCCGCCTTCACCGGTCTTCTGGCCCACTGTGGAACGATTACGGATGCCCGGCGGAACCAGGAACGAGAGGGTGGCGCGGGCCGAGCCAAGGCAAGGAGGGCTAACCGAGTTCTCTGTCTCTCTCGCTCCGCACCGGGACGGCCCGTGAGTGCGAGAGAGACAGAGAGGCCCTTCCGCTGACTGGCTGTTCTCACGTGGCTCCAGTGTAGCTCCAGTCTCCCCCGAGCTGCAATAAAAGTTGGCGTGGACTGCAGCGTGAGCTAATTGGCTGGAGTAAAACGGTGGGGAGGATGAGAGGGGGGAGCCAGCCGCGGGCGCCGCGGTCTTTAGGAGATTAATTCTATTTTTCATGAGTGTGTCTTTGACCGAAGCACCCCCGCTAACTGATGATGGTCTTGCCTTGCCACTGCGTCTCTGCTGCCAGTTCTAGAAGCTTGGGCGCTGAACTAACACAGCTGCACGGCAATGATGCACCATTTCCGGAGTTGAAATAAAATGACGTCATAAGTGGCAATACGGTGTGGTCCAGAAAAAACGGTACCTAGAGCGGTCTCGAACCCGAGACTTGCTTCTCCACACACCATGCTCTTAACCACAACGCTGGCGGGAAGCCATGCCGATCGCCGTGCCAGCGTTGCTTTTGAAACTTCTGTTGATCTCTCACCTCAAGAAGTCTGTTGCCGAAGAAAAAGTAGACTGTCCAGTCCCGAACTCGGGACCTGCAGATACCAGCCGACGCTCCTAGCCACTCAGCCACCGGGTTGTCATGTCTCTTGTCGTGTCAGCGATGGTGTTGGAACATGTTTTGATCTGTCGACATGTGGAGATATCTCCATATGAAGTCGGTTGCCGAAAAAGCTCCTTCATTATCCAGTCTCGAACCCGGGACCCACCATTTACTACCCCGGCACCGTAACCACTGCGCTAGCAGGTTGACATAGCTGCTCACTGCTAGGTTCGTGCCATGTCCGTCTGCCGACTTCCCGCTCCCAGTGCCCCACCAGACCGGGAGAGAGGCTTCGACTTCTTGCTAAGACCGCGCAGGGCGGCGCAGGGGGTCAAAAGGGGCAGGCTGGCGCTCAAGTCGTCGCCGGGCTCAGTACACACGGACGCACCCACACAAACGCGAGCTACTACCCCCACTACTGCTGCAGGGGTCTATACAGCCTCTCTGTTGCCTTTACAGCTTACCAACATTCATAATCCCTAGATGAGGCTCCATCGCAGCGCTAATAGTCCAGCCGCCTCTCTCCTCTCTCTCTCTCTCTCTCTCTCTCTCTCTCTCTCCCGAAACTCCGTCAGGTGATGTCCGCGCAGACGCGATACCGGAAGTAAACCGGAAGCAAACCGGAAGTTCCGTCTCTGTCGCCACCACCGCTAGTCCGTCAGCCGCCTTCCCGGGGGTAGGACTAGCAAGGACCCCGGGGAACTGTCCAGGCAAATGCACACGGTGGGGGCCGGCGGGGAGCGGACACAGTGGGGGGGGGGGGGGCAGCAAACACAATATGTTCCCTTTGACTTGGGATGCTCGAGCTGAAACAAGACCCCCTTGCGCGCTTTGCGCCCCACTACCGCGTACCAAACACACACACACACACACACACACACACACACAACCACACCTCCCGGACGTCTATCCAGTGATCCCTCATGTGTGTGCGTGAGTGGCATTTACTACACTGTACTACGAATGTGCTGAGTGCGCGACTGCGCGTGGGACTTCCCTTCTTCTTCTTCCTCTTCTTCTTCTCCTCCTCCTTCTCCTCCTCCTCCTCCTCGTCCGCTGTTCGAGCTAATATCGGGTGCAAACACGCGTGAGGCGCTGGGCAAACTGCGACTTCGGAGCGCGGTGGTGGTGGGGGGCCTTTTTTTAAAAAGGGTTTTATGCCGGAAGGACCCGTTTCTGATTCACCCGCAAATTGAGGGTTTTACGAGGTCGACCCTGTTTCCTCCTGCCCCCCTTGAGGCCCGAGCGGCGGCCGGGGGCCCTGTGACTCGTCGGGCGCCGCCGTGCGGGGCGGGCGGGGGCGGCGGGGCGGGGCGGGGCGGGGCGGGGCGGGGCGGGGCGGGGCGGCTCCGAGAAAGGCACGGAAAGGAAGGCACGAGGGCAGCGTCAACATTGAGACAGTGGTCTGACCCCCAGGTCCCGGGTTCCCCTCCCACTCCCCAATCATGCACCCCTCCCCCCCCCTTCCGCCCTGCTCGGAATTGTTGCCATTCGAGACGGCGAAGAAACCGTCAAAGCAAGTTCAACCCCTTCTTTACTTTTACATAGAAAGCCAGCTGTATTTCACAACACAGCTCACAGTCAGGGTTTCTTATTTTAATGCTGGCTAAATAACAATGAGTGTGCTTTTTTCCCACAATTTGCCTGGTATTTTGCTATTCTTTTCTACTCCGCGGGTCCTAGCGCTCCTGGAGGCTCGCTGTCTCTTCTTTCTCCCTCTTTCTCCCTCTTGCCGCGCGCGCCGCTGATAGTGTGTTTTAAATTTCCCTCCTTATTTCGTTTGCGACATTAAATTACGCCGCAGATAAGAGGCTTACCGCGCCACCTGTCTCACATTCCCTTACCCCTTCCCCTCCCCCTTCTTCCCCCCCCCCTCCCCCACCCCCGTGACCCTGACAGTGTATCGCGGCCGATCGCCGCCGAGTCGCTTTTGTGCAAGAACTCTGCCACCGCGACTTCCCACCGGAAGTACACTGCAAATGTTGCAGACTCCCCAAATGTTTATGTTTATGTAACCCAAGTCGCCCGCCAGCATCCACCAACGTGGAATCGTGCCGCAGTCCACCTGCCAGAGCTCATCAGGCTTTCGACTGTCGGCCACGCCGGCGGTCGGTGGGTGAGCCTGGGTGAGCCTGGGTGAGTCTGGGTGAGCCCTTCGTCCTGGGGATGGGACTGCGTTTAGAGGCGAGGGATGTAAATAAGAAATCCAACGGAAGCGAGAGCAGCCGTAATTGTGGTGCTGTTCATTAGCAAGCCCCTCTCCCCTGCCCGCCGCTCTCTCCAGGAAACAAGCAAGATTTCCGGTGACTCCCCAACAACAGACGCTCAAGTGGTCGGAAGCGGCCGCCGCCGCCCCGCGCGCGCCGCGGTGGCGCACTTTCCAATCAGCACGGCTTTGCTCCGGGTTCGAATCCCCGTATTTCATTTTTCTTTTCTTCGCTCTCTGTGTCGCAGGTGCAGTATGTCCTCCCGGCCCGCGTTGTGCCTGACGCTCTTGACGGCCTTGCTCGCGCTGCGGGTGTCCGCCAGCACCGCCAACGCCCCCGCCGGCCCTGTCGGCGCCGACCAGATCAACACCTGCCCCGCCGAGTGCTTCTGCCTGTCCAAGAGCGAGGTAAGAGCGCGGTGGCCGAGTGGGCTAGCGCGTGTAGCTCGGTGCTTGAGGTTATGGGTTAAACGCCCGCCTAGGATGCCTTTTTTTTTCGCCGCGCTGGTCATTTATTTGTCAGCAGATGACTTGGTGGCCGTGCGGGCTGACGCGTGTCCCTCGAAGCCCGGGGTTCTGGGTTCGACTCCCGCCCTGGGCGGTATTTTTTTTTTCGCCATGCTGGCCATCCCTCATCCAGCTAATGACGCGGTGGCCGCGCGGGCTGACGCGTGTCCCTCTGGGTGGAGGTTCCGGGTTCGACTCTCGGCCGGTACGAACAGGTTTTTCGTCTTTTCCCAATGTGTCGGTCATTCCTCAGGCCGCTGATGACACGGCGGGCGAGGCCAGGCGAGGCTGGTGGCAGGAAAGGGTCGTAACGAGTTCGGCGAGACATATTGAATGTTTCTCCCCTTTCGGGCCTTCCGCGAAGACTCCCTTTTGGCAAGCGCCATTGCACCTTTATCCCTCCATTTCTTGGCCGCCCTTCGTCGCGGTCCCTCCCAGTCCCTCCCAGTCCCTCGCAGCGCCCCTCCCGGCCATCCATTCTCTCCACCTCTACGTCTCAACTCGGCGCCGCGCCGCGCCACGCACCGCCCCCGCCCCTTGCTTTTCAGTTTACAGTGTATCAATATGGGGTGTTCCAGGGTGACCAGAATGCACCCCTTTTCGCTTCTTCCCTTCCTCTCTCTCTCTCTCTCTCTCTCTCTCTCTCTGTCTCTCCCCCCCTCTGCTCCCTCTCCTCCACCCCACTGTGAGCACAGCCACACGGCCTAAAGCCTGACAAATACCACCACACTGTCGGCCACCCGCGTTCAAATTCCAGTGTAGAGGGTGGGCATTTCTGCCGCGGCGATCACAGTGCAGTAGCGGAAATGGATTCTTTGAACGTCAAGGTCCGGGACCGTCTCCTCGACTGGCTGGCGCGGCCCGCGGCGCTCCCGCGGTCCCCGTGCGGGGGCACACTGGAAGTGGTGGCGCTCTTTCTCTCTCGCACTCACGGGGCGGGCCCTGTAGGCCCTGTAGGTGCGAGAGAGACAGAGCGACGAGTGGCAAGTGGGTGCCCTGGAAGGGCTGGAAGCGGAGGCGCGGATTTGGCTAATTTGGATTAGTGCTGTCGGCGCGGCGGGGCCGGCGGGGACGGGGAGGCCCTGGAGGAGTTCAAGTCCGTCCTCGTCCTCGTCCTGGCCGCCGACTAACAAAAGACGAGACGGCTGCCGCCAGGACCGCCGCCAGGACGGCCTGCCTCTCGTTGGGGGCCGGTCCACGAGGGCGTGATTCGATTCAACCGCAAAGAGACCCAGCCGGCATTGTCTGTCAAAAAAAAAATCATTTTTTTTTAATTTCAACCAAAAAAATAGTCACGAAAAAATTTGTTATTGAACAACCGACTTTTTGTTTACAAGTCTAAAAAAATTCTTTTAAATAACAGACTTTGAAAAAAAAATTAAATGTTTTGCAGAATGCGAAAAAAAAAAGATGTCGTTGATTGTGATAGTTGACGCCAGGCTGCCACAAGTAGTTGACGTTTTCGCAAACTCGCGGCGCGTGGGCGGAGGGCGGAGAGTTGCAACACCTCGAGTCACGCGTCATCTGCGCCGCCCAAATTGACTCAAGCGAACCGTTTCCGGGAGGCGCGCCGGCAAACGTAAAGGGGCGCTGACTTGAGTCGTCCACGGGTGGGGGAGGGGGAAGGGGAGGGGCAGGGGAGGGGGAGGAGGGAAAGGGGGGAGGGTCCTGGCTCGGGAGCACGCGGGGGAGCGGAGGGCAGCGGAGGGCGGCGGAGAAAGAAAGGGTGGTGGTGGTGGGGGAGCGGTGGCAGTAGTGAGGAGTAATTTGTTCCACTGCGTCTCATCAGGGGCCTCGGTGAATTGAACTGTCGAGCTCGCCCTGGCTCGCCCCACACAAGCGCGTACACACACACACACACACACACACACACACACACACACACACACTCACACTCAGACACATACCACGGAAGTGAGCGCGTGAGTAAAAACTCGCCCAGACAACAGTTCTCCCCTCTCTCTCTCACTCCCTCTGTGTGCCCCGCTCCGCCCCTGCCTCCCGTCGTCCCTCAGGGGGAGGGAGACGGCGCCGACGGTGGCAGGGATCTGGCTCATCTGCGACATCGTCTGCGACGTGCATGACATTTGGCGATGGAGAGGGTGTGCTCGAACGGGGCAACAGGTAAGCACGTTCGCACAGTGGGCCAGAAGACCGGCGGAGGCGGTCAAAATTCTAGACGCGTTTTGAGCTCCATAGTCGCTAAACAGAGGACTCGAACCGAACGTGTGACCCCACCAATGGATTGCTCTCCGAACGAGGAATCCATGGTGGAGTCATACGTTCGGTTCGAGTCCCATTTAGCGACTCTGGAGCTCAAAACGCGTCCGGGATTTCGACCACCTCCACCGGTCTTCTGGCCCACAGCAGGCCAACCTGGCTGTTCACCAGATCGGCGCTAACATCATCTCCCGCACCAATCCGGAGCCGCTCCCCCTCCCCTTCCCTTCGCCGCCTGTGTTGGTCCCTGTGGTAAAGCAATGTGTGTGACTTGCGCCCGCCGCCTCGTGGCTGCCACACTGCCATGGCCACCTCATGGTGTATGCATGGCGGCGCCCCGCTCTAGATCACACGGGGCGTCGGCTAGTCTGCTACACTCGAAGATCGCGCACCGAGAGTACCGAGAGGGACCATTTCTTCCACAGCTTGAAGCCCTGGGTGCTCTGGGTGCAGGTGCCATGCGCGTGCGGGGTGGGGTGGTGGAGGGATGGTTGTCCGGAAGGGGTTGCAAGGGACGGGTGTAGCTCTGCGTTCTTTTTGCCGTGCATTCGCGCCAGTTTGATACAGGGCGCGGCGGGCTATGGGCCGTGACAACGAACGGTCGGCCGGCCTCCCTCCCCGCGGGCACCCACCCCTGGAGGGGCCAACGCCCGCGCGTCGGACCGCCGACCGTCCGAAACTTGCAGTGTGAGGTGTTCACATCTCAAAAAATTGACCATGAAAATACTGACGTCAAAAGTGGCATTGCGAAAAATTGGTACTTTGGGCGGTGTCGAACCAAGCACCTGCCACTTCCCGTACGATGTTCTTAACCACTGAGCTACCGGGCCATCACGCTGTGGTTGTGTTGTGGGTGCCCAGGTGCTGTGCAACACGGGCGGGCTGACCAAGATCCCGCTGGACGAGCTGCCCACGACCGTGAAGCAGCTGACGCTCCACAAGAACAGCTTCTCGCACATCAAGACGGAGGCGTTCGCCGGGCTGCGGCTGCTGCGCAACCTGTCGCTGGACCACAACAACATCACCGTCATCAAGGCCTTCGCCTTCCGCGGCCTGCCGCGCCTCCGCGAGCTCTCCATCCAGCACACGCCGCTGGCCGTCCTGTCCGCCTTCTCGTTCGCCGGGCTGCAGAACCTGGACGCCGTGCGCCTCAGCCACAACCGCATCCACCGCGTGGAGGGCCAGGCCTTCGCCGGCACCACCAACGTCAACTGGCTGCTGCTGGACCGCAACCCGCTCAAGGTGCGCCGCGCGTGCAAGGACAAAGTCGCGTTTTGAGCTCCAGAGTCGCTTAACGGGACTCGAACCGAACGTGTGACCCCAACAATGGATTGCTCTCCGAACGAGGAATCCATTGGTGGGGTCACACGTTCGGTTCGAGTCCCATTTAGCGACTCTGGAGCTCCAAACGCGTCCGGGATTTGGACCGCCTCCGGTCTGTGGCCTGACTCTCCCCGTCGCCGTCCCCGCAGGTGGTGGCCTCCAAGGCCTTCTCGGGGCTGACCAACGTGAAGCACCTCATCTTCCCGTCCGGCGTGTCGCGGCTGGAGGAGGACGCGTTCCAGGGCCTCGACCACGTCGGCCTGCTCCGCCTCGCCTACATGGACCTCGTGTCCGTGGACCCATTCACCTTCCGGGGCCTCCGCCACGTGCACGTGCTCACCATCCAGGACTCGGACCTCGGCCTGGTGCGCGGCAAGGTAAGTAGAGCTGTGTCTCTCGCACGCCTGGGGCGTCCCACAGTGGCTGGGGTTCGACTCTCAGCAATTCTTTACATTTTAGGAGTGGCTTTCCCGGTGCGGTTTGGACCCGTTGCGCCACTCAGCTTACACGGCGAGCCACGGTGGCCGAAGGTGTTGAGACCTCTGATTCCTATACTCGGATCGAGCGATCGAATACTGGCTTCCCGCTCTTTTTGTATGACTATACGGTTCGGACCAGCGGCTTCAAATGCTCCCCTTCGCACATCGTCACCCATGGGCCGTGGTGGCCGAGAGCACAGAGGCGTCGGGTCCCGACTGCGGGGTCCGGGGTTCGATACCCAGCACCGTAGAGAATATTTTGACCAAGCTTGCATCGCAAGAAGGCGGTTCAAGTATACAAAATCGGCCGGCGTTCAGTGTGCCTCTCATAGCCCAGTGGTTCCGCTGCTGGGCAGGGTGACGCAGTCTCCTGAGTACCAGTAGCATGGCCCCTGAGTGGGAAGGGGGCCGGGAACGAAACCCGACTACTGGGAAAGGTGGCAGCCTGGCCTACTATGAGAGGACTCCTCCACATCACAGATGACGTGACCAATGACGGGGCCACTGCGGTTTAACTCTGAGGTTGCTCCTGTGATGAGATGGGGGAACCACTGGTCACCAAGCCAGCGGGGAAGAGGGCCGGTTCGCCGGGGTGCCCTCTTTCGCTGAAATTTTCTTCATAGTGTTCATTTTACTTCTGTTACTCTGAATACATTTTGTGTTAAAATGTATTTGGATTGTCCACTGTGCCACAGTGGCAAAACGACAGGGTCGTCACACACTCCATTTTGTTGTCAAGGTGTTCGAGGGCATGGCGCACGTGCTCAACCTCATCCTCAAGAACAACAAGATCGACGCCCTGGAGGAGTTCCACATCGTGCCGGCCAACAAGGTGATCAACCTCCGCTTCGAGGGCAACCACCTGCTGCAGAACCCGGCGCCGGGCGCCGTGCAGATACACGTGAGTACTCGACGCCAGAAGCACCACGAGGCACCAGTGTGGAAAGGGTTGCCGACCTCAGCCTGCCTACTAGGCAACTGCCAAGACCGGTGGAGGCGGCCAAAACTCCAGACGCGTTTTGAGCTCCAGAGTCGCTAAATAGGCCTCGAACCGAACGTGTGACCCCACCAATGGACTGCTCTTCGAACGAGGAATCCATTGGTGGGGTCACACGTTCCGTTCGAGTCCCAGTGCCCCCTGGGTCGGCAGCCCTTTCGGTGCACAGTGTGGCAGCTTTGTGCATCCCTGTAAGCCTCGGTGTCCGCAGCTGGCGGGCAACCTGACGGTGACCAAGAACCACTTCCCGTGCGACTGCCGCCTGCACGCGGTGCTGTTCGGGCCGCTGGCCAACCACTCGGACTTCCGCGCGCACAACTACTGCATCAAGCCGCTGCACGTCAACGCGCAGGCCATGGCGGCCATGAGCTCCATGGACGCGGCGGCGCTGGCGCGCTGTCCGGAGGCGGGCAGCTCGCGGACCAGCTTGGAGGCGGCGCGCGGCGGCGGCGGTGTCCGCGTCGCCGGCGGCAGTGGCGGTGTCCGGGAGGCGGCCTCCGTCGCCCTGCTGGCCGTGGCCCTGGCCCCGGCCGTCGCCGTGCTCGTGAGGTGATCGCTCTGCAGCGCACGGTGGTGGTGGTGGCGGCGGCGGCAAAGAGAACTTTCAGGTACCGCCAAGCCGGCAGTGCCTCTGTGGAAAACCCGGCCCCGCCAACGGGGACAAAGGAGCGATCTGAAAAATCCAACGCGCTACGGCCTTGCAGCGAAAAGTAGCTTGCCGAGTGCTTTGGGCGCACGTGAGTTCACAAACACAAAGAAACCCCAATTCGTGACTTACGAACGATTTCCTCGTTTAACAAAGTGTATAGTTTCTCTACCTTACATGTGCTCAAAACACTTGGTAAGGTTTCAGGCGTGAGGAGGACTGACTCTCGCGGACTTCGGTTCGCGAAATAGTTTTAAAATGTAGAAACATGATTTCTCCTGATTCGGGGGGCAAGGACTGTAGAAGCAACGGTGTTCACGATGTTAGAAATAGCACGATTCAGGCACTTCTGTATAGCCAGGGTAATGTTTCAAATCGTATTGTTGGGGTAACTGTTAGCTGCTATTGTTTTCCTGTGTATACACGTTAAGTAAGTGTAATGTTTATGGGACAATCTGTTCGAAATAGCACATTTGGTGTGAGGAGGAGATGCCACATGGGTTCTCGTCTTGCATCACTTTTAAGAATAATTTCTTGAGAAGTTTTCTTGTTCACTTCCCTTGTACATATGATGAGAACGTAGTCAATTCACGATACCACTATAGTCTATAAGCTGACACTATTGAGATATTCCTTGTGTGATATAAGTAGACAGCGGGGCAACGCAACATGATTAAGTTTATTTCCTGTTCATGTTAAAGTTATTTCAAAACGTCTAGTCAAGCCAAAAAATAAGAAAGTTTCAGAAAAGCCTTTGCCGAGTGCAGAACTGTTTCGTTTTCGTTTGCGGAGCCCCGCGCCAGAGCACGGTTTTAAAATAAAACGCCTTGTTGAACTGTTGCGCGCGTGTCTTCTTTCGGAGCCCATACCGTATGCAGGTCAGCCAGGCGAGCAGCGACGAGGCGATGCGGCACAGTGGGCCAGAAGACCGGTGGAGCGGCCGAAACTCCAGACGCGTTTTGGGCTCCAGAGTCACTAAATGGGATTCGAACCGAACGTGTGACCCCACCAATGGACTGCTCTCCGAAAGAGGAATCCATTGGTGGGGTCACAACGTTCGGTTCGAGTCCCATTTAGCGATTCTGGAGCTCTAAACGCGTCTAGAGTTTTGTCCGCCTCCGCCCACTGTGGCGGCCACGCACACGCGATACGGCTGATTCACTTTGCAGCGTCGCGTCGCGAACAGGCATGGCAGCGCAGGCAGGGCAGGCAGCGTCTCGCGGACGCGGACGCTCCCCGACGACGTATCGCTTATCTTGTTTTGGAGAGAGAGGATAAAAATAAAGTCCGTCTGAGTAAAAGTAGCAGCAAGGTGGTGGCGGCGGAAGAAAGGGGTGGTGACACCACCGGCAGCGCGGAGCGGGGCAGGAGGGGAGGGGGAAGGCAAGGTGTGGGGCGCGGGAGGGGAGGGGAGGGCGAAGAAAAAAGGTGAGGCGGCCTGCTATATTGAAGTAATAAAGACTGATTAGCAGTGCCGGCAACGGGATGTGCACCGCGCGTGGATTTTCGCGGCCTGCGCTCTGTCTCTCTCGCACTCGCGGGCCGAGCCGTCTGGTTGCGAGAGAGACAGAGCGTCCGTTCGGCCGGCAGTGCGGCGGGGCGAGGTGCTGTGTCCTGCTTGCACTTCGAGGGGGTAGCCCTGGAGGGGCAGGGGGAGGGGAGGTCGGTTTAAAATGGACCGCCACGACACGGACGAGCGGTCTTACTTCCGGGGTCCCTGGGCCGCCCTGGGCATTTAGGCGTTCCTGTCATGTCTGCGGAATCCCGGAATCACGGCGAGGGCAGAGGGCGGGGCGGCCACCCGGAGGAAAGGTGAAGCAAGGTGGAGGAGGGGAGGGGGAGGGGGGGGGGCACTTGCGAGCGGCTTTTGCGCTTCTTGTTCTTGGAAGTGCACGCCGTTGCACTCCAGACTTTCTCGAACGGAGCGGTGTGGCGGTGCGGCGTACCACAAGTGCACCGAGACATGGCCGCCGACAGCCTCCCCTCGCTACACTCACTCACACACACACACACACACACACACACACACACACACGCACACACAACCGCCAAAAGACTAGCGCCGCGAATGTCGGAGTGCAAATTTTTCCGACAATAACTCTAGCAGGCTGTCGGGTAAGTAATTAACTGAACCGGTGGGCTCGGCTGGCTGGTGCTCCGAGGCGGCCCCGCCCCGCCCCGCCCCGCCCCGCCCCGCCTCGGTCATCAATTCCCAGTTGACCCAAAGCGAGTCCCGGGAAACAAAACTGCAGCTATAAAGCAGTGATCAGCGTAAAGCCTGGCTGCCCCTAACCCCTTGGAGGGCCTAAACGTTAGCGGTGGCGGGGCGGGGCGAGGCGGGGCGGGGGCAATACGCCCGCTGGGGCCGTGGACGTTCCGACCAACGGGGTCCTTCTAATGACCTGTGACTGTCCCTCCTCCCCCGCAGTAAAGCCAACGCAACGACGGAACGGGGACATACACTGTATACCTGCGCCACAGTGAGCCCGTTTGTCTGTCTGTCTGTCTGTCTGTCTGTCTGTCTGTCTGTCTGTCTGTCTGTCTGTCTGTCTGTCTGTCTGTCTGTCTGTCTGTCTGTCTGTCTGTCTGTCTATGAGACGGGCGCTAAATTGAGTGTCGGCGGACGGTAGTATTCGAACCCGCGACCCTCTGCGCCGACTCGAGGGCGGCCAGGGACACGCCTCATGACACGGGGCGCACCGCCAGACGCGGGGGTGGGGCGTGGCGTGGCGGGGCGGGGCGTGGCGGGGCGGGGCGGGGGGGGGCGAAGACAGTAGTCCCATCACGTAGTGCATTCCAGACCGTGACAGTGAGCAAGTCCTGTAGGTCCTGTACCGCCACGCCACGCCGCCACGCCCCAGATGCGGCAGGTAAGGCCACGGTAAGACGCGGTACGCCGCAGGTAAGACGCTGGGGTGTTGGGGGATGAGGTAAAAAAATCGGGTAGGGAAAATTAGGAACGCAGAGATGGTGCGGATGCAGACACCTACAAGTACTGAAAGGCCCCCGGCCCCAGAAAAGTTTTTCCAGGCGGAAGCTCTCCTGGCCCAGCAGCTGACTGTCGCTGAGGCAGCTCTCTGGCGGGCCGACGCTCCGATCATGCCTTTGGTGGCCGACAAATCTGCAGGCGTTCCTTCATCCCCTTCCCCCTCCCCTCCCCGCCCCGACCCATTCAACGCGGCACTGAGCCTTCACGAACACATCATGCCTCACGCATTGGCCGTGCAGCGCTGTGCAGTGCGGTGCTCCGGGACCCCCATACGCGCAATACATGTTGAGCGTCTGCTGAGTAGCCTGCTTCGGTCTGCCAGGCCGATGCCTCACAGTGGGCCAGAAGACCGGTGGAGGCGGCCAACACTCTAGACGCGTTTTGAGCTCCAGAGTCGCTGACTGGGACGCGAACCGAACGTGTGACCCCACCAATAGTTGTCTTGCGACCCAAAAAATAATTGGTTAAGTTTTTTGTTTTTGTTGTTTTTTGTTTGCTTCTTTTTGGCGGCGCGGCGCGGCGGTGCCGGGATTGCGCGTGTGTTGCATGTCAGCACGAGTCGAGATGTTCCCGAAGGAATTCCCACCACTTACTTTCTCCCTCCCCCTTCCGGTCGGACCCTTGGACCGGGGGAGCGTGGCACGGCACGGCACGCAACGCAACGCCACGCCACGCGCGCAACACGGCAGCAAACTTTGTGCTAATTAAATAAGGCCCCCTCGTCGCGACGAGTGTGCTGCAGGGCTCATGCAGGCAGGGGGCGCCAATAAAGCGCGTGGGTTACAGTGTGGCGACAGTGAAAACTACAAAGAGTATCGGCGGCAACGAGTTCAGAAAGATGCCGCTCGGTTGGAGTTTTGTTGGGAAAAAATATATGGAGAGATATTCCCATCTTCATCAAAATTGTTTTGCCTCGACTTTATGAGGACCTCCACAACGGCGCAAATCGCGCTTATTATGTACTAAAGAGTCAACTGCGTGGTTTCTCCCATTCCCCCCTCCCTTTAGGGCTGTGAGCCGCAGGGGGTGAGGCTTGCCCCGGCCGCCCTCGGGGAACGGGTGGACATCGAACGGTCCCCCGGGGACTCATCTGCAACAAATGACACGGTGGTCAGCCCCCCTCCCCTTCCCCCTCCCACCCCCTTCCCCGCCCACGCCCCTCGCCGCTACGGAGCGGCGGGACTCGCACGTGGATTTCCCTTTACCGCGAGACGCTTGCTCAGACCCTTCGCAAAGTGTAGTGGACGGCCACCTGCCATTCCTCCATGCGGGGACGCACAGTGGGCCAGAAGACCGGTGGAGGCGGCCGAAACTCTCGACGCGTTTTGAGCTCCAGAGTCGCTGAGTGGGACTCGAACCTAACTTGTGACCCCACCAATGGATTCCCCGTTCGGAGAGCAATCCATTGGTGGGGTCACACGTTCGGTTCGAGTCCTGCTTCGCGACTCTGGAGCTCTGCACGCGTCCGGAGTCTTGGGCATGGCGCCTGCGAGGCAGCGGGTAGGCCACCACGGCGCACCGCTGCCCCGCGGGCTGGCCTACACTTGACAGGCGCTCGACGACCGCGCTCGTCAACGCGACGCGGCAGCTCGCACTCTCCCCTCCCCTCTCCCCCTCCCTCCCCCTGCTTTAGCGTGAAATCTCGGTGGTTATTAGCGACACGTCAAGGCACGCCTGCTTCGTATGCAACGCGCCGCACGCCGCGCCGCCAAAGATAGCCCTGCGACTCAACCAGCAACTTGCCTCGCCGCCGGAGCGGTAGGTCACAGGCACACTGGCTCAAAAAAAAAAAAAAAAAAAAAAACTTGAGAACTGCAAGTTATGGCTCTTCACACTTAGTCCACAAAATCAAAGAGCGTCGATTCGAAATGGAAGTTTGTAGCTGGGAACCGCTGGTCTGTTTCTGCGAGCGACATTCGCAGCCTCTTCCACGCCCCGTCCTCCGGGTCGACGCGCTCAAAGCCTCTTTTTTGCGAGAGCGACTCGGAACGTCGGAACTCCGGGGCGCGGCTCGAAGCGCGCATCTTGGCGCTGAGCCCGGTTCAGTTACCGGCCCTCCTCGCGGCCTTGCGTCAATTTGTCGGAAGATCACGTTCTGACCACACTGTTACCACACTGTTCTGACAGGCGGTGCTTGGCGGAGCGGTGCCCGTTTGCGGAGCATTGCGGAGTCGCCCTGTGCCCTCTGGACCAGCCGCCAGCTAGCCTGCTAGCTAGCCTGCTAGCCTGCGAATAAGCTGCTTACAGTCACACTGCCGGCGCGGGCTCCACCTGAGTGCCCCGCCCCGCCCCGCCCCGCCCCGCCCCCCAAATCTTGCAACTCTTTCCCGCCGGCTCTCCGAGGGCCACTCTGGCACAGTCTTTCTCCCGACCTTCTTTTCCAGTGCCGTGCCCAGGGGCGGGCCCAATTCAGGGGGTCGTCCACATGTTACGTCACGCCACTTAGGCTGCTGGAAATCCGGGGAGAGCGGCCTTTCACAGTGGGCCAGAAGAGCGGTGCAGGCGGCCAAAACTCTAGACGCGTTTTGAGCTCCAGAGTCGCTAACTGGGACTCGAACCGAACGTGTGACCCCACCAATGGATTGCTCTCCGAACGAGGAATCCATTGGTGGGGTCACACGTTCGGTTCGAGGCCTGTTTAGCGACTCTGCAGCTCAAAACGCGTCTAGAGTTTTGGCCGCCTCCTGGTTGCGCATTTGCTTTCTTTCATTACTGGAATTCATAACTACACGAAAGACCTTAGGGAAAAAAACGTTTGCAACACTTACAAGAATCAGCCTTATTTTATTCATGTTTGTAAAAAAAAGGAATCAAAGCTGACGTGTGGAGATCGGATTGGGAAGTAAAGGGCAGAGGGGAAGGGAAGGGGGTGGGGGCGGTGTGGCAAAGAGACAGCAGACAGACCCTAGTCTGAGGAAATCCTTTGCCCAGAAGCCGCTGCCGGGTAATCCTGAGAAGAACAGGTGAGGTTGATACCACGGCTTAGACTCGGCTAAGCCTCCTTCGCCGTGCTGGTGGCGCGGGGGGGGGGGGGGGGGGGGGGGGGGACGGCGAAGGGGGGGGGGGGTGTACCTGGGACGCTGACTCGCTGAGGGCACAAGCGACATTTTAATCACAGGGTGATCATCAAGTCAGAGGCAACAGCTCCATCGCGTTTCGCCACAGCAGCAGCAACAAAAACAACAACAACAAATCAAACGAAAAACAATTAGACAGAGATTCAAAGGAATCTGAAGTTTTCGACGAAGCAGGAACAGGCGACCGGCATCTCGAACACGTCGATGGTGGGTCGCTGGTGGGGGTTGGCCGGGTCCACGCACAGCAAGCGCGTGGCGGCGAAGCGCTGCATGCACGAGGACTTGTAGCACGGCGGCAGGAACTCGCACTTCTGGTTCAGGAACCTGGACCAAATCCAAATCATGTCAGCACGTTGTCATACGTACCTTTTTGATTTTTTTTTTTAATTTTGTTTTGGTTCTCCGACGTACTTGCAAGTCTCCACTCGCACCATCTGCGGGAACTTGTCCGTGTTGACGACGGCCACCCACTGGTCCTTCCAGTTCCTGGCCCAGCCCGGCCTCAGGTACGCCACTTCGGACTCGCACGCAAAGTGCCCTCTATGCCTGATGAAAAAATAAATAAAAAATTATAAAAATTAATTAATTTTGTTTTGTTTTTTCTCACCCACTCCCCCTACCTGTAGTTGTGGGTCTGGTTGTCCCTGTTGATGAGCTCCTGCGGGTTGTAGCGGTGCAGCGCGTGGTACAGTGTGTTGGCGTCGTCGTGGTACGTGTTGAGTATCTCGTGGACGCGCTGCCTGCACCGCGAAAAAGCAGCATCTCACAGTGGCCTCGAACCGAGCGTGTGACCCCACGAATGGATTCCTCGTTCGGAGAGCAATCCATTGGTGGGGTCACACGTTCGGTTCGAGTGCCGTTTAGCGACTCTGGGGCTCAAAACGCGTCTGGAGTTTTGTCCGCCTCCACCGGCCTTCTGGCCCACTGTGCGAGCTACTCACTGCGGGTACTCCTGGTCGTAGAGGCAGAAGGGCTGCCCGTTGGCGCAGCGCGGCGTGGGCGACCGTCCGCGCAGCAGGACGTCGCCGTCGGCCCGGACCGGCGTCTGCGGCGCCGCCACCGCGTCTGCGAGAAAACCAGCCGTCCGGCACAGATTGGAGAAAGGGCAAAAAACGCGGCGTCCTTTGGCTCCGGTTATTGCCGCCTTTGCGGCCTTTCCTCACCTCGCTGCATGCCTCGTTACCGATCAGCGGGCCGCCGGGAAACTACACTGAAAGTCATAACCGTGACTCAAGTTTCGGGCGAGGAAGGTTTCCTCGCACTCTCTTCAGAGTGTATGCACTCTCAGGAGAGTCCCTTAAAGATTTCCATCGGAATGTGACGTCAAGTCAGCTTCGATCGTGTGCCACGCTCGCGTCAACAGTGGGTGTCATGTTCGCTCGCATGTTCCAGTGAACCGGGCGAGAAATTTTCAAGTCATCCACGATTATTGTCATAAATTGTCATAATGGAATAACCACAAAAATGACAAAATTTTTGAGTGTCGTGCTGCTAGCCACCAAACGGCGTACTCGGTGAGAGTCATGATGACCTACCGTTGTTCTTGGCGCGCGCCGCCAGCGCGGCCTCGGTGACCAGGTTCTGCCTGGGGCTGACGGCGTTGGCGGCGTTGGCGGCGCTGACGGCGTTGGCGACGGCGCGCAGCGACAGCGGTTCCTGGGCGGCCTGGGGGCTGCTGGACTGCGAGTAGAGCACCACGATGGACGGCTGGTTGGCGTGGTTGGCGTGGTTGCCGAGGGCGCGCGAGGCGGCCGCGGCCAGGGCCAGGACGACGACGGCGCCGACGGACACGCGCGCGTCCCGGAGGCCGCGGCCGAGTCCCGGTGGCGGTTCTGTCATGGCACGCGCCCGGGCTGCACTACACTGCGCGCCGGGGCGACGGGGGCCGACGACGGGGACCCTGGTCGCCGAGGGCTGCTTCCCAAAAGCGCTCCCTCCGTCTCTCTCGCACCCGCACGGCGCGACCAGTGCGTGCGAGAGAGACGGAGCGCCGTTCGAATGCAGCCGCCAGGACACGCATGGACGCGCCACGCCCACCACGCCCGCAACGCCTGGGTTGCCGCAAAGCACCTCCATTGGATGCGGCCTATCCCTCCGGGCCTCCGCAAGGGCCTGGGGCCTGTTAAGCGGGGCGCAGTGGGACCGGTGGAGGCGGACAAAACTATAGACGCGTTTTGAGCTCCAGAGTCGCTAAATGGGACTCGAACCGAACGTGTGGCCCTACCAATGGATTGCTCTCCGAACGAGGAATCCATTGGTGGGGTCACACGTTCGGTTCGAGTCCCATTTAGCGACTTTCTGGAGCTCAAAACGCGTCTAGAGTTTTGGCCGCCTCCACCGGTCTTCTGGCCCACTGTGAGACGCCCCGCAGTCATGCATCCGCAGCACCAACATCGAGGCAAGCATGTCTCGTCAGTTTCGCTGGGGATTGAATTTGTCTTAGTGACGCATCAGGAATTTCTCATAGAAGTAGCCTCCCGCAGAGACGCTTGTTGTGGGGTATTCCCCTGGTGGTATTCCTCTTGAAGGTGCCTTCTTTGCTTCACGCGGGCATCGTAGTCCTGAAGGAATCGTGCTGAGTGTCATTCATTCCTGAAATACATTGCGGTGAGTAGTTACATCGGTCACCAGGTGGACGCTCTCGACTTGGCTGTGCTCTCGACCTGCAAGCGCACCAGCAGTGTTTGTCAATCCAACCGAATCTAGGGTTATGGGAGTCCGTTTTCGCACACCCAACAAAGCGTCTGTGTTCGTTTCGATTTGTACACGATTCTGTCCCTTTTCAGGATTTTACCAAATCTGGCTGCAGCCATGGCGTCAGTGGAAAGGATCAAATTGGATCCGCAGTCGGCAGAATACAAAGGCATAGCCCAGAGTAAGTCCCTTTGCTGTGAATTCTGACAAGGGTGCACGCATCTATCCCGAGCCTAACCGTTTGTCCCTCCAGAATTCAACTCGAAATACATCGTGAAATTCAAGAAGTGCACGATACTGTCCATTGAGAAGGTCAAGAACGAAGCGCTAGATCAGCGTTTCCAAAGCAAGAGACAATGGTACGAGGATAAACACGGACATGTCAAGATTGTCAAAGGGTGGCATGGCACCGTGAAGGAAAACGTCGCCTCCATTTTAAAGAACAACTTTGATGAGTCCAAGAACTTCGGTAAGCTGACGTGAATGCACTATGGCGACACACACATTTCATTGATACCATTACCATTGTGCCTACAGTGTTGCTTGCCTACCAGGCATGTACGTGCTGGCGCGTGCTGGGCTGGACCTTCGTTTAACGAACCCCTGTTTTTTGGTGCAGGCCGATGTTTTGGCCCGGGAGTGTCGTTCTCGAGCTTGCCTTCGTACGCCTACCACTTCTGCGACAAGAAGACCCCTGAAGCGTGCATGCTGCTGGCGGACGTCCTCGTGTCCAACGTCCTCGAGCTGCCCGCGAGCGAGAAATACGGTATTTTGCGCGTACCGCCTTGCGTGCCTGGCACCAACTTTTGGTACGACACCGTTGCGAAGGACAAGGACCGCATGGACGTGTTCGTCAAGCAAGACAAGGACGCCTTCCTGCCCACTCACGTGGTGCACTTCAAGCGCGCTGATGCCCCGCCCCAGGCGCAGCCCGCTCCGGCAGCAAACTCGGACTTACATGAGCTGATGGAGTCATTAAGCCTGTATCATGATAACTTTGACCTCATTGATCATTTGTGGAGTTATGACAACGAGGATCATTGTGAGGGAGATGAAACTGACCAGTTTTTGCATAAGTATGACTCTAATCAGGTGGTGCGTCTGGATGATGGCTCCAATCACGTGGATTACGATTACGATTCCGATTCCGATTACGATTATTACGACTACGAGCTCTGACCGAATGTGGCGCTTTTGAGGGAGTGCTTTTGTCACGTGGCCTGCCAGTACTGGGCCTGAAATCCTGACCATGGTGGGGAAGTGCTGGATTGTTTGTTTTTCATTATTGTGTCATGGCGTTACCCTCCCCAGTCTTTTTGTATTTTCTTCAAGCTTTTTTGTGAGGAGTCATTCTTTTTCAATCTTATCTTTTATTTCCTAGCACTTGTAGTGTGTCCCTGAATAAAGTTGTATTTCCCTCCCTTTCTGTTCTGCTTTTTCATCTTTTCCACCGCGGGGCGCGCAGTTTGCCATACGCTGGGTTTTAGCCTCGCACAGGGTACGCGGTGGGGGAACCTACCCACCGCCCACATTGCAGTTGAATGCTTGTAAACACAGCTGCAAAGCAGAAGCAGCAGAAGTTTGGAGAAATTTCTTCGTAGAATTCGGGCGCTTTGAAGAAGTGCGCTTTTCGGGATCGCCTTGCCCTTTCGAACTTAGCGAAATGCTGGAGAGCGATGAGGGTTTCTTTTCGCTGCCGATTCATTTCGTTTGACGGTGGCCGTCGAATCGGTGTCCTCAGGTATTGTTTTCTCCGTACGTCACTCATACGCGTCGCAAGTTTATCATTCGTTAATCTTGCGAATGATCGGAAAGGCTTTTTCAAACGATTGGCGTTTCAAACGCCTCGTCTCTTTCTGTACCAGTTGTTGTTACATGGATTCCTGAAGAAAAACTTCTATTCTTTGTTTCAGTTTCTGGATTGCTCGGACCATTTTAGGCTGATGAAGAGCTGTTCAATGGGTTTTACTCATCTCATGTAGAAGATATGCCTTCATAAGAGCTTCAAACTTGTTGAGATGGTTCATTGCGATAGCACAGACATTGCTGATGTAAGACCTGCCCTAACCCAACGGCAGGTTCGGTCTTAGCCATGAATGACCTAGATCAGACACTTGATACGGTTTCACAAGTTATACGAGAATTTGTGAAGGTAACTATCCCTGCTGAAGTCATACAATATCAAAGGGGAAAGAGAGACCTGAATCTTACTTTATTTCAGGCCAACGATGTTGCATTAAGTCATGCAAACATTCATGAGAATTCGGACATTGATGTTATTGAGGAAGAATATGAATATATTCAAGGAGACTTCAAACGTTTAGGATTTCCATCAAGGAGCCAAACTGCCATGTCTGACTCAAGTGAAAATGAGTCATGGGATATGATGCAAGATGTTGAGCTAGAAGACTTTGATTTTGCACCCTCACCCCCTCCTGTGAGTATTTGTTTTTCATTTCTTACCATTAAAAAATGTTACACCCACTGTCTTATAAAGCCATGTTATTTTCCAGAACAATTTGAGTGAAGGTGAGCTGGAAGATGTCATGTTAAATGGAGGCATTTTTAACTGGCAGCAACCATCCATTAGTAGTGACATAATGGATGACGAAAGTAGTGATGCTAATGAACTTGTGGTGTCGCGTTCTGGATCATCATTGTCCGGTGATAGTGATGGCAGCCCCAGTACAATTTCCCCCATTGGATTGAGTCCCGTTTACCGCGGGAGCCCCGACAGTGGCAGCAGTAGGTCTGACTGTGAAAACAACCCACTTATTCCGAGCCAGTCACCTTGTTACTCTCGACCTGGAAGCCCTTGGCCCATGTTTGCACGGCCCTCCTTCAAGAAAACAAGAAGCCCATTTTGGACAACATTTCGAGTACGAGAATTTCGCTAGAAATGTACACTTGTTTATGGATGATCATCAGTATTTCAAGATTACTTTCATACATTCAAATTAATTGCATGTGTTTATTTTGAATGCAACAACACAACATTATTTCTAATTAATTTAAGGTGTAAATTTCTCCTGGGTAAAGGTGAAGCATTTCCTTTTTTAAATATAAATCTGTAGCAAGCCTTATGTGTTCTTTGGATTAATTTCAAGTGACTGTCTTTGATAATATGAGCAGCTTTTGTACCAAGTATCTTGAAATTAAGTACTAGTCATAGTCCTGTGTACAATGTCCATTGAAAATTGATTGTTTGCATGAGGAGCTTTTTTGTTTTTCTGTCTGTTTGTTTTTTTCTTTGGAAGTTTCTATTTTTTTTTTTGTAAGAATGTCTTTATTTCAGTTGGTTGATTGTGTGACATTTTTATGCACATTTGTTATGTTTTTTCTTTAAAGTTTATTAGTTATTATTCTAGAATAATGCCATTGTAGAAACAAGAAAATGTATAATTATATTATTCTACAAACACATTTTTCACTCATTTCTTGTCCTTTATTTCTTTATCATGTAATAATTGAATCTAATTCATAATTTGTTTTCAAATTCTTGTTTTCATCACTGCTTTCATAAATAACTGCATGTATAAGATTTTTTTTGTTAAGCCCTGTGATATAGAGCTAATGTGGCACATGAAGTCAACCATGTTTCCTATTTTATGTAATAAATGCCCTCAACTGTGTTTGAATTGTTTGAGTCATCTATCAATTATTTTCCATAGTGTGCAGACTCTTTTGTTGAAGGAAAGTCCTGAGTCTGATACAGACCCTCTAGAGACTTAAAGGCTCCTGAGAGGCCATACGGAATTCCAAGTGGTCCAATTTAGTTTCCCAATTTTTTGGTCAGAGCTGACCATGCATGCACTGACGGACCTAGCGGACTTAGTTGGGAGATCAGTAACCAGAGAGCGCCACTGAAGCCAGCATCAGGACTTCCCTGGTTCAAAGAAAGTTTTGAGTGATCAGGCTTTTGACCTGTGCACAGACCGGAAAGATCACATCTCGAGGTGAAATTTCAGTCTCTTGAAGATTCTTTAGCATACTGCAGCTATTATTTGCTTCTCACGAGTACGCGAATGCCCCAGAATGCCCCACCCAGATCGGCGGTAACAATCAATTGTTGATTTTGTTTTTCAGAGGGCCGTTACCGGGGAGATTTTTCTTGGTGCCCTTCTGATTCCAGAAACCAGTGGTCATCGTCAAACACCCTCAATATTGCGTCGGTACACTCGTTTGGATACGGTTTGAAGCTGGCAGGGCGAGCCCGCCCACCCCCGCCCCCAGTTTAGTGCGCATACCGTAGGGACCCTAAGGGTCATTATTTACACGTCGAGCAGAAGACACTGGCGCCGGCGCCAAAGCGCCAAAGACAACAGTGCTGCACCTGTGACCCATCCCGTCATCATTTTAATGACTTGATTTTATACTTGACTAATAAGCTGTGACGGGATCAAAGGAAATATTTTTCAGTCCTACAGCTTACCACGAGGTAAAATCCATTACTCTAGTTGCATGATAACATTCCAGTCATAATTCCAAAGTAATGGTGGTTAAGGATGGTTTTAACTTCAGGCAGTTTAATCTCACATGTGTGTGATAACATTTGCTTGCAGATGGCAGAAATGATTGATGATTCATTGATGGTTACAATGAATGGCGATTTGTGCCCTGGGGAAATGAAGGAGGAGGATTCACCTCAGCATGAAGTAAAAGAGGATTCCCAGTCTTCGCTCATCCAGTTGATGTCTGCTGTGTCCATTGGTAAAACTAGGTAAAGCTATGATTTCAAAATAGGTATCATGTCACCTTTCTTTATGTGTAAGTTGTGCTCGTTACCCTTTATCAACTTTATTTTTAACAGCGAAACAAATGTAATGTCCATTATTGACTGGGAAGAATACTTTATGTCTATAGCATATTTGGTGGCCAATCGCAGTAAGGACCCAAGCACGCAGGTTGGGGCCTGCATTGTAAACCAGAGAAAAAGAATTGTCGGACAGGGGTATAACGGTATGCCCAGAGGATGTAGCGATGACGAATTCCCCTGGAAAAAAGTTGGACCTGATTTGGAAACCAAGTATTTCTATGGTGTGATATCAGTGATAAATGAAGTAAGTTTTATAAATGTGCCTTAAAATTTTTTCTAACAACTTTTTGTTCTCTCAGTCTGTCATGCGGAAATGAATGCTATTTTCAACAAAAATTGTGATGATATCAGTAATTGCACCATATATACAATCTTGTTTCCCTGCAATCAATGTACAAAAACAATTATTCAATCTGGCATATCAGAGGTGGTCTACATGTGTGATAAAAACAAAGACAAAGTTGAGGCCATTGCTTCCATGAAGATGCTAGATGCGTGCAATGTTCGATATAGGTGAGCTGGGATGTTTTGTTGCTCATCTAAGCATGACTGTCAAAGCCCCATTTTACCCTCTCTTTCCTTTGACAGGCAGTTGCGTCCAAGCTGGGCAGGCTTAAATATTGACTTCAAGCAGGGATTGTGTGAGATCGTGAAAATAGGCCAATCAAAAAGTATTCCGCAGCCAACCACTCAGTAACTATTTTTTGGTTTTAGTTGCATTTTTATCATTTTTAAGTTGCAGTTTCCAATTATGAAATGATCTTTTTTTTTTGTGGGGTGTAGGCAAATTGACAATACCAAAAAAAGACAAAATTGTCTTCCATGGGATGCATATTTTCTTGCTATTAGTATACTGGTAGCAAAGCGGAGCAAATGCCCAGAAGAACAATTGGGAGCATGCATTGTCAATGAGGAAAAGCGCATTGTAGGCCAAGGCTACAATGGTATGCCGCAGAATAGCCGAAATGTTTTTCCGTGGAGAACAGATTCAAAAAATATTCTTGAGAATAAGATACTCTATGGTAAGATATTGTGCGGGAAAGTCATCACTTTAATGTGGTCTTTGTGGATTTCAAAATTGTGGTTTACCTTTCTAGAGTGCCATGCTGAGCTGAATGCAATCCTTAATGCAAATCTGCAAGTAAAGGGATGTAAACTGTACACAATTACTTTCCCTTGTAATGAGTGCGCAAAGGCCATTATTCAAAGTGGAATCAAAGAGGTGATCCACCTGAAGAAAGCCGAAGACAAAGATACATATGTGGCTGCGCAAATTATGTTTAATGCTGCAAAAGTTACATTTAGGTGAGACTCTCTCAAGTGATTTCTCTTATTTATTTAGGTGAATGATAAATTCTTGTAATGAATTGTAATTCTGTCCAATTTTTGAAATTGCAGGCAGCACACCCCAAAGGATGAAATGCTGTATGTGGACTTTTCTCAAATAGAGTTGTAGCTGCATGTTTGTTCAAAATGTAAATTTTACTAGGACTATCAGTTCTATTTTTTATTTTTTCTCGCTGCAAAAGGCTAGATCTTTAACTTGCAGTCTTGGACTTTTGTGGTAAGAGCCTGCAATTTCATTCATGGTGAGTTGAACTTCACAGACAATGCTAAGATTATTACTGAAAATTATCTGTATTTGATATGTGCTTTGCTTGTCTGGTTGGGAGGAAGGTTTTATTTTGATGACTTTGTTGTGATCCTTGGTTGAAGTAAAAGAATAAATGAAAACACATTTTAGAAAGTGGTAAATGGCATTTTCTTTGGCCTTGGAGATATACATAGGTATATTCAAATAGAATCAATAATGTGTACACAGTACACATGAATGAATTGACATGCCTGCAATACTCGATAGTGACAGTTTTTGCAGAAGATTACAAAAGGGTATCAATGCATAATGCAATAAAACATGACATGAGAGGAACTATATAAATTAAATAAAAGATCTAAATGCAGGATTTTCAGATACAGAATAACTACAGTATGTCATAGAAGCCTGTTAGATGCCTTGACCAAGACAGACAGAGATGCAAATACTGCTAAGATCTCATGTCTTTCTTGGTCAACTATGCAAAATTAATAATGGCTCATGGGATAAGGTGACATGCATTGAAGCTACGTGGAAACTCACTAATTTAAAACATGTAACGGTAAATTAAAGGAGAAATTCACTGGAGCTGATAGAGCTACATACCACCTTATCCTCACTAAAAAGACCACTTGCTCGCACACTTAGAAGCTCACTTATAAGAAAACAAAGAATCACATTGAGTATCTAACAACACTAACACACAGCATACTCTTACATTCATCCGTTTATAAACAATTATACAATTGAGTTCAAGAAATGATTCGAGGCTCACTACACTGTTTACATTTAAGTTTCTTCAGCGGTACTTTCTTTCTCCTTAATGATTATGACCAATCTGTCTACCAAAAGGACTGGACTTGTATCTTACAAAAAGGAAAGGAAAACAAATTTCCCATTAACGCTACTTTGATATCATCTTGGCCTGCTTTTCTGAGTCGACATCGGAGAAGTCAATCCAGAAACTCAACGGAGGGGCACTTCCTGATGGGCAGGCGACTGCGCTCCGATCTGGAGGCGGTGCGGAGGGTAGCCGAGCTGGCAGCGTGGACCATGTCCTGGAAGGCCTGGCCCCGCTGCGGGGCCCTGGGTCAGAGCTCCGTGCACGTCTCGCTGCTGGCCTGGGTGCCGGTGGACTTGGAGCCTCGGCCAGTGTCTCGGCCCGAGTCCCGGCTCTGGCTTCGGAACGAAGGCTCATTGCCGTTGAGTGCAGGGTCACTGTACTGCAAGGAGCTGTATGCCGCATTCTGCACCCGGTCCCCTGTCCTGCTCACAGCTTTGATGCTCGCCTGTGGGAGTGAGGAAACCTTTCGTAATTTTTAATCGTAAACCATTTGCGGTGTGAGACTAGTTTGGAGTTAGCTGTGGAAAGCGGAAACGCTGGACCATCAAGCAAGTTAGTTTGTTCGGCTTGGCAAGGCAACCGAGAGGGTTGGATCAGTTACTCCGAAGGAGCGCTTGAACTAGCATGTTAAAGTTGTACCGCAAGGCTACCCAACCATGCAAAGGGGTAGAAAGAAGGAGAGAAGTGTGTCTGCAATGCGTATTCCAACTTCCTCGCCATCAAAGACAGATGTCATGAGGTCACAAAAGCGTTTCTTCTCAGTCCACAATTTTATTTAAATTTTTTTTATCTTTGGTTTCATAGAGCGTCACTAGATAATTGATAAAACACAGCAGACCTAATTTTTTTTTTTCCAGTTGTGTGTTTTTTTTTTATTTGAGGAACAAGACGCAAAACTTTGGCTGCTCTCTAATCTACTGCGCGCTGCGGGTCAGCAACTTACATTGTCACTCTGTGGATTCCTAATGACGGCTGTGTGCATTTGCTGCTGCTGCTGAAAGTAGAGCGGTCCCGCCCTGCTCCTGCCGCTGGACTGTTGTTGTTGCTGTTGCTGTTGTTGCTGCTGCCTGGCGCGGTGGCTGCCCGCGCCGCCGAAGCCGTTGCCGATGGTGTGCTGGAAGGTGACCCCGTGCGGGGTGACTATGGGGGGCAGTGGCGACTGAGAGGGCGTGTTGCTGCTGCTGGTGCGCCGGCTCCCCGTGCTCCCCGTGCTGCCCCGGTGGTGCGGGCCCAGCCCCGGGCCGAGGCCGAGGTGGTGGTGAAGGTGGTTGGAAGCGGCGGAGCCCTGCAGGCTCTGAAGGCTGTGAAGGCGCCCAGCAGAGCCAGCCCCTGCCCCTGCCCCAGTCCCAGGCCGACCACCCGAAGAGATTACCTCATCCCAGAGCCTACAAGAAGGAAAGGCAAGGCCCAAGGCAACGCCAAAGGCAAAGAATATTTACAACAGGAAAGAGGGAGCCAAGAGAGGGGATCACCAGTGCACTGTCAAGGGTCGTTATATGGTGCACGGCCAGTGCAGGGAAGTGCGCCGGCTGGACACCTCCATTCATTTTCACCAGTAACTTTTGTCTGACATTTTTTTTAAAATTTAAATATTGTGAGTGGTCTGTGATACACCAGTGTCACATTCAAATTCACCAGTGTCAATTTTTTTAAATTAAGAAATGAAATGTATGCGAAGAAGCATCTATATTGAATGGAGGTGTCCAGACCTTGACCAATTTGATGAGGGTAGCATTATTGTGAAGGGTCAACTTTAAGCATGGGGGGAAAATTGAATTTTGTGTGCAGAACAGGGATGGGCAAGAGAGCAAAGAGTCCTTGGTGCTTAATGAGTGTTCTGGCGAGGAAACATTTGCTCGAACAAATGTCCGAATTAGACAGAAATAATGACTGAGGGGGTGGAAATTTTGGAAGACAGCTGTGACACTTTATCCTCTCAAGAGAGGGAGAGGCGACACATCAGCAGTGGGCCAGAAGACCGGTGGAGGCGGCCAAAACTCTAGACGCGTTTTGAGCTCCAGAGTCGCTAAATGAGACTCGAACCAACCAACCGTGTGACCCCACCAATGGATTGCTCTCCGAACGAGGAGTCCATTGGTGGGGTCACACGTTCGGTTCGAGTCCCATTTAGCGACTCTGGAGCTCAAAACGCGTCCGGGATTTTGACCGCCTCCACCGGTCTTCTGGCCCACTGTGCCCCGTATCAGCACGTGTCTGGCGGGTGAGAGGGGCTCACCTGGCGCTGTGCGGGCTGTTGGCGCCGTTGCCGTTGGCGCTGCCGTTGGGGGGCAACTGGGCCAGGGCGGAGCGCACCCTGTTGACGTTGCCCTGGCCGTGGCCCAGCCCGTGGCCCTGCCCGTTGGACATGAAGCTGGTGACGCCCATGTTGCCGTTGTCCAGGCCGTTGCCGTTCTCCAGGCGCTCGCTGCTGCCTTGCGGCGACGAGGTCCTCGACGGCGTCCTAGAGGGCGTCCGGGACGCGAACGTCGACATGCCCTTGGCGTGGGTGGCGGGGGCCATGCCCGTGGCGCTGGCGGGCCGGTTGATGTGCAGGCTGTAGTGCTGGCCCTGCTGGCCGCCCGGGTAGCCCTTGACGTGCTTGGGCGGCTGGTTCTGGTCCTGGTGGCCGATGTTCGTGGTGCTGCCGTTGAGCTGGGCGGCGGACGGCACTCTGGCAACACAAAGCACCCCGTCAAGCTCTGCTTCAGCGGAAGTTTCCCTGGATTTTTTGGGGCGCGTACCTTGGCAGCGGCGGCACGTGCATGCTGCCGCCCTGGGACGGCGAGTGGTGGTTGCCGTTGGCGGCGGTGGAGTCCGCAACGGCGTGCTGGTGGCGGTCGACGCGGTCCCGGTGCGCGGCGCTGCCGCCGTTGCCGAGCAGCGACGACGCGCTGGGGCTGAAGGGCAGTGGCGGGATGGACATGGCGGACCGCGACACTGGCTGGCTGTTGACGCTCAACCGGTCCGTGCTGCCGCCGTCCTCGTGGCTGCAACGCAAGGGAATGCCGGACGCGTTTTGAGCTCCAGAGTCGCGAAATGGGACTCGAACCGAACGTGTGACCCCACCAATGGATTGCTCTCCCAACGAGGAATCCATTGGTGGGGTCACACGTTCGGCACGAGTCCTGGTTAGAGACTCTGGAGCTCAAAACGCGTCTAGAGTTTTGTCCGCTTGCGCCGGTCTTCTGGCCCTCTAGCCCTCTACGAGGCGATACCCCGCGCTGGTAAAACTAGGCCCTCTTGGCTTACCTCTTGAGGCTGCGGCGAGAGGACCGGTGGACGCGCCGCCGGTTGTTGGGGGACATCTTGACCTTGACGGGCTTGGTGGTGGTCTGGATGACGGTGTAGGGGATCTCGCGGAGCTGTGCCTCCGTCATGCCCTCCGTGTCCACGAGGTCGAAGTCCAGGTGCTGCTTGAGCTCGTCCGGGAGCCGCTTGCTCTCGGAGGGGGACCGCGACCGCGACCTGCAGCACGCCGAAGAGGCCACCAAGTGGGTCAAGCAGGTCAAGCAGCAGGGGGCGTGCCGCGGCTCGTGGCCCACTAATGAGGGTGGGGCCCCAAGGTCAGGCCGCCGTCGCTGTCTCTCTCGCACCCCCTGGAAGCATGCCGTACCTGTGCTTGGTCCTGACGCGGCGCTTGTGGCGGCCGTGCGCGCTGTCGGGGGGCGTGGGGGGTCGTGGGTGGGGGGGCCCCCCCCCCGGTGGTCGGCGGGGGGTTGGGCCGCCCGGGGTCCCCGTGGCCGGCCCGTCGCGCTGCCCCGTCGGTGGCCTGCTGGACGCGGCGCCGCTCAAGCTGCCAACCCTGAGACCTGGTGCAGTGACAGCCCGGGCACCTCGTGCCACTGCGGGGCCGGTCGAAATCCACGCTAGCTCCTGCAACGGCTGCCGCTGCAACCCACCAACCGCTTGAGAGAACCTTGGTGAAATTTGGTCAATTGCCCTGGACCCAAACCGTCAGTTTGGGCCCCCCCAGAGGGACTGTGCGTGGCCAGGCGAGGCGGTGACCCACCTGTTGCTGGACTTGTGCCGCGACTTGTGGCGGTGGTGGCGGTTGCGGCACCGGCTGTGGCAGCGCTCCGAGCACTTGGACACCTCGCTCTCGCTGTCGGACCCCTTCCTGCTGCGGTGCCGGCGGTGCCTGCGGAAGAACAAGCGTCAAGCTGTCTCTGTCGCACTCATTGACGGTGTGGCCGCGCACAGTGGGCCAGAAGACCGGTGGGGGCGGCCAAAACCCTAGACGCGTTTTGAGCTCCAGAGTCGCTAAATGGGACTCGAACTGAACGTGTGACCCCACCAATGGGTTCCTCGTCCGGAGAGCAATCTATTGGTGGGGTCACACGTTCGGTTCGAGTCCTGCTTGGCGACTCCGGAGCTCAAAACGCGTCTAGGGTTTAGGCCGCCCCCTCACCTTCGGCAGGGCCTGGAGTCCGTGGAGCTGTGGCTCTCCACGCTGGAGGAGCGTCGGTGCGGGCCGCTGGCGTGCCTCCTGGAGGCCCCAGAGGCGCCGTGGGCCTGCGCCACGATGCGCCCCGTGCTGGCGGCCGAGCGCAGGCTGCGCGGGCTGGACGCGCTGTTGTAGAGCCCCCTGGCGTGCGGCTCCGTCCAGGGCGCGCTGCGAGTGCTCAGCGGCGGCGACGGCCTGCGTCTGCAAGGCAGAGGTCGCGGGTTCAAATACCGGGTTGGTTTCGTTTTTCGTCAGGTTTGCGGGGCTTACATGGCCGGGGCGGTGACGACCGAGGTGGGGTTGGGCACGGGCAGGCCCTTGTCCTGCGGGGCCAGGCTCTCTCGGTTCTCGATCTCCTCCACGCTGGGCGCTGCAAACCGAAAACAAGCTGTCTCACTCGCACTCCCAGGCACGCCCCGCGAGTGCGACAGAGACAGAGCGAGTGGCTGCGCGGACTTACAGTGCGGTGCGCCCTCGACGACGCGGCGGCCCTGCCACTTGGCCGTGGCCGAGGCCGTGGACGACGCCGCGCCCTCCACCACCCTGCGCTGCTGCCTGCGGCTCGGCGATCGCTCGAACGTCGGCGGCGCGCGCCGGCCCGCCTCCACGTCGCACCGCGCCTGCTTCTCCGTGCGACCACTGCAAATAACCTTCATTTAGCAACATTTCGCAAAAAATTTGCGTTGAAAAAAAAAATTGCTGAAATTTTAAGAAATAAGTACACGTTTTTGCCATGTTTTCACCCGGCACTTAGATCCGTAAGTGAAACGTGGCAGAAACAGTGACTTGGATTCCCAGGTTCATCCTGGAAAAAGTTACGTTTTTAAATTTGTCTTTTTAAAGAAATGAACTTTCTTACGATGATACTCGCCTGTAACGGAAGCGAGAGCTGAGCCTAAAGATCTCGTTGGGCGCGGGGGAGACGCGCACCAAGCGAAAGAAGGCGTGGTGCTCCACGCAGCACTTCCACAGCTGTTTGCACGCCGTCCGCGAAGGCGTCTCGAACCCGTAGGTGCTCTCCTCATTCTGAAAAAAGAGAAAAATTTTAAAAAATTCAAAAAATGCCAAAAAAATTAAAATTTTTTACAAAATTCCAAAAATTAAAAAAAAAATTCAAAAATAATTAGAAAATTACAAATTAAAAAAAACTTTTAAAAATTTACAGAAAATTGAAATGAAGTTACTGGTAACATTGTTTTGACGTAAAATGGCCGCGCTTACGTTTTTATCACAGACGCGGAGCATAAAGTATCGCCCCTTGAAGTAGATTTTGGTGATTCTCGGCCAGTAGTAGTTGCCGACCTTGTTCTTGTTCCTGAGCACGATGATGCCGCTGGGCGTGAGTCCTAGGAAGTACTCCACGTTGTCCTCCCCCTGCAGAAACAAAAACAAAAAACAACAACAGTTTTGGACGCCGCATGCGTTTATTCATCTCGAAAGTGTGCTTTGCTTTTTCATCTCACCAGCACCGGATGCAAATCGACGCCGTACATGTCCAGCCATTTGACTCGGTCTAGGTACGCCAGTTCCGCGTCGGCAGGCAGCTGTCCACTGGAAAAAATAAAATACATAATTGAGTCAAATATCTCTTTCTACCTGTCTGTCTGTCTGTCCGACCCCTTACAGCAGGCCCTTGTGCAGCTCCGATATCCGCGACTCGAGCTCCGCGGACTGATTGGAGACGAACCGGAACTCGGACACGTATCCTGGGGAGTGGCGGCGGGGGTCGTAGTCGCCGAGTTCGGCTGGAAAAGAAAACAACCGAAATAAATCACGAATTTGTGGCGGCTTTGCCGGCATGCTTCTGCAGAAGGACACTTACACTGCACCACGTAGGCCCCCAGCTCGGCGGCCAGGTCGAAGTTGACGGGCAGGCGGCCCTGGAGGATGTCCTGTTTCACCTGGAGGTAGAACTGGTACCTGTGGGCAGAGGCAGCGACACAGTGAGCATGCTGGCGGGTGAAATTGGCCTTGAAACTGTTAAAAATAAAAACCCTTACCTGGTGATTTCCTCGAGGAGCTTGCAGGGGTCCGCGGCGTAGAACTTGACTCCGAAGTACAGCGTGCAGGAGATGGTCCCCTTGAGCTCCCTGGCCACCTTCTTGGTCGGGTCCAGCCAGTGCTGCAACAACAACAACAAAGATTTTTTTAGATTTTAAAAGGTACAAACATTCGTACACTGCTTCTATGCTAAGATGTTCTATTTTGCCCGTGGGCCTAAAATAGGTTTAGTAAGTTTTATATATTTTTAGTTGGATTTTTTTGTTTTTGTTGCTGTTATGCTAAGCTAACAACAACAACATGAGTGCCTGAGGCCCCTGCGAACGGCAGGGTAGGCAGTCCCGCACACTCGGCCTGTGAAGCGGGTCTGCCTACCCTGCCTTCCGCAGGCGCTGAGGGTGGCCGCCGGGAAGCGTGCCAAGCTCCGTGTCGCGAGCTGTGCTCTCCCGACGGGCGTTCTGGCTCGGAAGCCACAAGTGCCCCATCCCTCCCTCGCCCCGAAGGCCAGGAGACTGCCAACGCCCTTTTAAGAAACTCACGACACTTGTTCGAGTACACTACAGGTAACAGTGTCCCTGCCAAGTGTTGACACGTGTACTCGAGAATGCAATGCACTTGCAGAAATTTCTTTAATTCAAATTAAATTCAAATCGAACTCAAATTAAATTCAAATTAAACTCACGCTCTGAAAAAAAAATGTACCACGCACCTATTATTTGCTTGTTGGGGGAAAAGGCGTAAAATACGACACACTGGTAAACAAGACATAACACAAGAAATATCGTCGCCCTTTTCTACTTGACACCGCAGCACACCCCTTCCCCCCATCCTTCCCTCCAAATTGTCCAACAGATAACGAGTTGCACGCCCTTTGAGGGGGAGGATGAAGATGATCCCGTCGCGATACGATGCAATGGAGACACACTCTTTAACTTTCAGCCTAAGCCTCCCCCCCTCTTCCTCTTCCGCGCGCGGAGACTTTGCTCGGCGCTGATAGACACCAAACTTTTACTCGCGTAAACACATTTTTCACGCTGCGGGCGTCTCGGGCCGCAACGCGGAGTCCCGCCTCGGACCCGCGCGCTCGTGCGGCATTCGGCGTACAAGAAAAGAAATTCACAAAGGGCTTTCAAAATAACACAGTTTCAGAATGAGTTCACACGTTTACAGCATTCTGATCGTGTTTTAGTCTTTTTGAGGACGATAGTAAAACAGACCTGTATACCGCAGTGCCCAATGGTAACAATTTTCTCCCGGCGGCCGGGGGTTCTTTTTTCGAGTGTAGCAGCAACACATTAATTAATCGTGTGGCAAGTGAAATCATGGGCAGTGTCTGCCGAAACATGAGATCTAATTCTCCGCCAACGCACTTTCGTCCAATGGGGTCACTGAGGAGCTGGCGGGGCGGGGCGGGGCGCCGAGTCTGGCGCGGTTTCTGATCATACGTCATGTGCGAAGGGGATACTATAGCCATCCATATATGGGGCCGCGCACGCACGACGCACTCACACACGTCCGCACTCTCTCTCTCTCTCTCTCTCTCTCTCTCTCTCTCTCTCTCTCTCTCTCTCTCTCTCTCTCTCTCTCTCTCTCTCTCTCTCTCTCCCCCCCTCTCCCTTCCACACACAAGGGGCCGCGCTAGTTCACCCAGATGGGGCGAGAAACCTCAATTTGCAAAGCGGGGGAATAATTGCCTCAAGGGATGAACAACGGCCCGGAGGAGCGGAGCGCGAGGCCGCGAGGCGAAAGCGATCGGAAGTTTTCTACGGCCGAAGCCGCGTAATTGCGTTTTGGATCCGCGGGGGGAATTTGAATTTGGCTCGCTCCCGTGGATCGTAAGAGCGAAATTCCGCCAACTTCACGCTTGTGTGACACCGCAAAAAAAAAAACACAAGAAACAGTTTATTCGAATTTAAAAAAAAAATAGTTTAAGTCCTCAGGTAAGACCTAAACACACACACACACACACACACACACACACACACACACACACACACACACACACTCACAAATCAATTTAGAAATTTCTTTTTAAATTTAATTACTTCTTTAATTTTAAAATAAATTTCAACTTACCGGTTGGTTGGCCGTGTCCAGGTACCGCAAACCGAAGTAGGCCGTCTCCAGGAGGTTGAGGTGCCGGAACACCGTGTCCAGGACCTCATGGCCGGGGCTGTTTTCCTGCAGGCAGACAGACAGACGCAAAAAAATCAGTTCACGGAAACACGGAAACTTGGAGTGCATGACATTAGCGTTAGCGCCTCCGAGACAGTGTGTGTACACTGCACACACGCCACCGCCGCCACGCTGTTTGCGCAGGTGCGTCCTTTTTGGAGCGCTGTCTGACCCGCTGCCCAAGTGCACTGTAAGGACACGGTGCCGAGGTAGTGCCTCGAGTAGTGCAGAACATTAAGGGAGCACTTGGCGCCAGCTTGTGCAGTGTTCCTCGACGCGTGCTTCGGGACACGTGCGACCGGGCTGCTGCACGCGCGCTGCATGGCTGCCCGGTCGCTTTCGCCGCTCTGCCCTTACAATAGCGAAGAGTTCCGAAACCTAGCCAAGGACTATTCCAAACTTGTCCACCAGCCCCGGACAGTTCCGCTTCCCCTCTGGTTTGGCCCGAATCGAGTCCGGGCCGAATAGGAGTCCCCGGGGGCCCTTTTTGGTTTTAAAAAAAAGGGGGGGAAAAAAAAATTTTGGGGGCCCCCCGGGCCCGGGCCCCCCCCCCCCCCCCCCCCTTTTCCCCCCCCTTTTTCCCCCCCCCCCCCTTTCCCCCCCCCCCCCCCCCCCCCTTCCTCCCCCGGGGGGAATTTTCCCCCTTTGGGGGGTTTAAAAAAAAAACCCCCAAAAAAAAAAAAGGGGGGAAACGCCCCAAACCCCCCCAAAAATTTTCCCCGGGGGGGGGGGTTTTTTTTTTTTTAAATTTTTTCCCCTTTTTCCAAAAAAAATTTTTTTTTTAAGGAAAAAAAAAAACCCCCCTTTTTTCCCCCTTTTTTTTTTTTTTTAAAAAAAAAAAAAAACCCCCCCCCCCCCCCGGTTTTTTTTAAAAATTTCCCCTTTTTTTAAAAATTTTAACTTCCGGTTTGGGGGGGGGCCCAAAAAAAAAAAGGGTCCCCCCTTTTTTTAAACCCCCCCCCCCCTTTTTTGGCCCCCCCGGGGGGGGCCCGGCCCCCCCCCAAAAAAAAAAATTTCCCCCGGGGGGGGGGGGCCCCCCCTCCAAAAAAAATTTTCCCCCCCCCCCAACCCCCCCCCGGGGGGGGGGGGAAAAGGGGGGCCGAGGGCCCCCGGGGTTTTTTTAAAACCCGGGTTTTCCCGGGTTGGTCCAAAAAAGGGGAACCCCCCTTTTTTTTTTTTTTGGGGGTTTTAAAGGGGGGGGGGGGGGGTTTTTTCCCCTTGGGGGGCCCCCGGGGTTTTTTTTCCCCTTTCCCTCCCTTTTTTTTTTTTCCCCCCCCCCCCCCCCCCCCGGGGGGGGGGGGAAAGGGGGGGGCCCCCTTCCGGTTTTTTTCCCCCCCCCTTTTTTTAACACATGAGAGCGAGAGCCCCCCTGAGGTCTGCCCGGCTCTCGCCATCCTGTCTGTTGAGGGGGGGGGGGGGGGGGGGGCGGGGGGGGGGCCCCGAGATTTTTTTGGGCGCTGGGGGGGCTGCCGCTGCACCCCCCCCCAGCGCAGCCGAGCCATTTGTACTGTTTTGCCCCCCCAAGGCGGCCTGTCCGTTCGGTCCCATTGAGAATTCCCCCCCCCCCGGGCCCCCCCCGCCCCCCGCCCCGCCCCGCCCCCCCCGCGGACGGACGCGTGCCTCCGACACGTGTCCCGACCGTGTCCGGACAAGCGTGCGTGGGCGCCGCGCCGCGACGGGGCGGGGCCGTCGCACAGTGAGCCAGAAGACCGGTGGAGGCGGCCGAAACTCCAGAAGCGTTGTGAGCTCCAGAGTCGCTAAATAGGACTCGCACCGAACGTGTGAACCCACCAATGGATTCCTTGTCCGGAGAGCAACCCATTGGTGGGGTCACACGTTCGGTTCGAGTCACATTTAGGGGCTCGAGAAGCGCAAACAACCATCTCCTTGGCAACGCTGACAAAACGCCCGCGGTGGTGGCTGTGGGCGGGCTAAGGCAACGGCTGGGCGAAAATGTCCTTGAAAAATTAGAGCAACAGTAACCAGACTCTTTCTTTCTCTTTTTTTTCAGTCTATATCCTTGACACTGCAAGTCTCACTGGGTGTATTATGACCCGCGCCACTAACTACCCACGTCTGCGAAATAACAAAAGTGAGGACGAAGAGGGGGGAGGGGGTTCCACACAGCACTCTCCGGAGGAGGAAGGCGTCCTCCCCCGGCTCTCTCCGGCGGCCCAGAGGGGAGGGGGTCGCTACAAATTAAAGTACGAGCTAAAATAAAATGAGAAGCACCAGGAGTCGTATAACATGCGCGGACGTATACGGGGTGTGTGTGTGTGTGTGTGTGTGGTGTGCGTGTGTGCGTGTGAGGCAGATTGCGCTGGGACCACGCGTTTTCTCGCACCCCCTAGGCACGGCTGGCACGGCCACCGTCAAAGTTGAGGCCATGGATAGAGGAGCTATAGCTCGCTGCTCGGGTCATGGTAGTGGTAGTAGCGCTGCGCGGGGGTCGCGTAGGGGTACCACCGCCCGGGGGGACCAAATTGAACCGTACCCGGAGAGACATATGACGGTGACATGGGTAGTCAACAGAGGGACTCGGGCACGCAGAGGGACTGCCGTCCGCACAGACAGATAGATACACAGTGGGCTAGAAGACTGGTGCGGCCAAAACTCTAGACGCGTTTTGAGCTCCAGAGTCGCTGAATAGGACTCGAACCGAACGTTTGTGACCCCACCAATGCATTGCTCTCAGAACGAGGAATCTATTGGTGGGGTCACACGTTCGGTTCGAGCCCCATTTAGTGACTCTGGAGCTCAAAACGCGTCCGGAGTTTTGTCCGCCTCCACCGGTCTTCTGGCCCACTGTGAGATAGCCAGGCAGACAGACAGACACAACACTCATCAGTGAAAGGAATGGTGGACCCTCCTTTCCGAGTTACGACGTTCCCGAGTTTTGCAAAGGGCCTTGAACGGTTCGCGCCGACCAGACAACCCTCTCCCCCTCCTTCGACCACAACCGCAGCCATCCCGCGGCCTTCTTAACGTCTCGGCCTAACGACTATCGTTACTAATTTCCACCCCCAGCCCAGCCTGTCGGGGCACTGCTAAAGTCGGCCTGGCCGCGCCACTCGCAAACCAGCCGGGCGTTTCCGCTACACCATCAGGACGGCCTAGTTTTTCCCATTCGCGTGGGGGCTTTCCCATTTCCCGAATTTACACGAGGAAAGGCCTTGATACATATTTCACAAAGCAGTGTGCCTGCCAGAGAGAGAGAGAGAGAGAGAGAGAGAGAGAGAGAGAGAGAGAGAGAGAGAGAGAGAGAGAGAGAGAGAGAGAGAGAGAGAGAGAGAGAGAGAGAGACCGGGGTGCGTTTGACGCTTTGCGGTCGAGTCACACACGTACGGCAGTCAGCGGCGAGGGTCAAAGTGAGGTGTTGTGTGCGTGTGAGGCGGCGTGGCGTGGCGTGGCGTAGGGGCGCGCGTCGCGCAGCGGGGGCGCGGCCTTGGCAGGTGAGAATTTTGTTTGAGTTGGACAGGTAGGGTACGCCGTGTGGCGAGCCGGCAAAAGGGGCTGCGGTGCCCCGCAAGGCGGACACACACACACACACACCAACTCCATTCGAGCCCACCCCGCTTGGAGGCGTTCCCCAAAACCATGCCTCTCCCGTACGCGCCGTTTAACGCGGCGAAACTTTGATTGACAAGCCCCCCCCCCCTCTCTCTCTCTGCCACCCCCAGCGCGCCCGAAAAGCACAGCCTAGGCTCTGGCCGCCCCGGCCGCCCTGGTGGGCATGAATACATTTATCTGTCGTTGGTGCTGAGAATGTGCACGGGACGCCCGACTTCCTCAAGTCCCATCGAAGCGACATCCCTCTCCTCAGCAGCCCCCCGTCGCTGGTTCCTTCCGACTCTCTCCGTCTCTCTCGCACCTGCACGGGGCGCCCCGAGTGCGAGAGAGACGGAGCGAGCGCCTCCTGAAACCGACTCCAAAAAGTTTCATGCTTTGTTTCATTCCGAGGGCCCCGCGACGCGACGCTCTGCCGGTTTCCGGTTGACAGACTTGGAGGCTCTGTCTCTCTCTCTGTCTCTCTCACACCCGGGCGCGGCTAGGCGTAGCACCCTGCGAGTGCGAGAGAGACACAGGTCGGCTGGGCCTGGCGCGCAGCGGCTCCGTTTCAGCTCACCTTCCACACTGTCAAAATTTCCGACTGTTGACATTTTTATCGTTTGAAAGTGATGAAAATAGTGACAACAATCTTTTCCAGTGCTCGGACACAAAATCGGACATTTTCCTTGGCGAGGCCAGAGCCAGAGCCAGGCGGGCGCGGCATCAGCAACGCCAGGCTAGAGGATAACGCTCCTGGAGAAGCATGGATGACGAGATTAGGGTCATTTCGAGCCATCATGAAAAGCTGGCAGCGACCAAAGGCAGGGATTAGCGTCGTTAGACGGGGGAGAGAGAGAGAGAGAGAGAGAGAGAGAGAGAGAGAGAGAGAGAGGGAAAACAAACCCACACAGGACAATGTGCAAAATCACGCAGGGTGCCAGTGCCACCCTGATTCCATCAAGGCGTATGAGAGAGAGAGAGGGGGGGGGGGGGGGTTGAAGAGTGTGACGATGAAAACTGCGCGGCGCGCGACGGGGTTGAAACCAAGGCAAGAGGCGCGAAAAGATATACATCAAAACACGGTCGTCGCACGCGCGCCGCGCCCCGACTTGTCGCTGCCAGCGCATACCAAGAGCCAGACACGAAATAAACGGGGGGAGGGGGGGGGGGGGGCGTTTGGACCTGGTGATGAGGGAGGTTGACTTTTCGCAGCGAACCCCTCTCGTGTCAGAATGAAGGCTTTCCCGGGCAGGCGTTGACTGTTGCTGCTCGCTCGCCTCCCCTCTCGTTCCCCTTCATCTTGGCATTCCCTGCCTCCCCCTCTCTCTCTCTCTCTCTCTCTCTCTCTTCCTCTCTCTCTCTCTCTCTCTCGGGTAACGGGGCCGGGGCCTTCCATAAACTCGCGTATTATTCAGATGCACCCGGCAGAAGACAGGCGGCCCCTTCGTCAAATAAAA